TTCTACCCTCTAATACGAAACGGAGAACACTTCAAGCCAAGAAGCGCTAGTGGAAAAGCCATAAATTCTCAGCAACACCATACACACACACACACACTCACACACACACGCTGTTTGCTAAACCACCTAATTAACAAGAAAACAACGATTCGATATATGTAGTGTGTGTTTTTTCCACCTATTCGCACACCAACACACATAAATCCACTTTTATATGCATGCTTTTCTAAATATTGAACATTTATTTTTGGATTTTTGGAAAGCCATTTGAAAAACAGCTCGCATGCTCTGCCAAAATACGGGGTTATACTGGCTAGTAGGAATATTTGGTTATTTGCGTTTCTTATTTTTCATAGCATACTTTTGGCAGCACAAGCCGGGCTTAGATTGGATTTCTATTTGCCGTTGATTGAAGTGAAACCACACAAAACAATTGAAAACCGTTGCACGGAAATAAAAATTGCTAAATAAACATTTATTTAACCATAGCCATGGACTTATGCTTTTTTAGCAGGCACATTTTGTTGTACACTAAGGAAATTGGAAGATTAAAATAATCGAGATGTAGAGTTTTATGCTCGTATGTGATTTAGTTAAATAATCTTTAGTAATTTCAATAAAAAAAGTTATGAAGAGCACTTGAAATAATAAATACCCAACCTATTTAAAAAGTTGTTGTTTTAAGATTGATTTAAATTGTTAAAAACTTATATCGTCTAACCTTAATTGTTAAATTGTTTTTCAAAGTTCAGTAAAAAACTTAAATTGTTTATAATTAGCAAAGCTCTTTTGTTTCTTTTTGTAGAATAATGCATTTTATTGATATTTTTTGGAGTGTTATTTTCGAGTATGGAATTAGACAGGCGTCTATTGGCGCACGCTTCGATATTTGCTCGTTATTCCACTCATTGTTTGCGGTTCGAGTATTTTTAGTTTTCATCTGCTTATATTTTTGGAAAATGTATTTTGCCATCAAGAGCAGACGTAGAATCGGCAGAATCAACAACTTAGCGCTGCCATTTGGTTGTGCACTCAGCAATTTTGCAAGTTCATGTGCTTTCGGTGCGCTCAAGCACAACAATTAGTGCATTCAATGTGTTCTCGTCATCGCTCACCTGTGCTCTCACCTGTCCCTCCTCCCACCGCCTCCCCTTTTCACCTGTAAGCCACCTCCACCTCCCCTTTTCACCTGTTAACCCTCCTCTGACCCCGCGTTTGCCATCTGGTTGTCAGCGAAATTTAACCCATGCACAAAAAGCTCGCTGCAGAGCACCTGACAGGCAACTAAGCTGCCTGTATTTCACGCTAGAAAGCCAGCAAAAAATAATATGTTTAATGTTTGTGAATGATTAATGGCACATTAGAATTGAAATTGTTTTTGGCCGCCACAGCAGCAGCAGTGGCAGCAGCAGTAGCATTGGCAACAGAAGAATCCGAACCCGAATCCGTATCCGTATCCGTATTCGTATTCGTATTTGAATCCAAAGCGCAACGTTGCCGCGTACACATTGCTATAATGTGCAAATATTTATATCCCCTCCTACCTATATGGTATAGTATGTGCTTTTGGCTGCTGCTACCTGAGTGGAACAGGTGAGTGTTTATAATGTATTGCATATGCATGGCCAAGTGCGGAAAAGAGCAAAAACCGGGCTGAAGATACACAGAAATCGAGTGAGTGTGCTTCCATATATTATAGTGTTCCATACACGAAGCAAAATTATATTCATTCCAAAAGCAAAAGGGGTAATATTTTAAGACATAAGAAATAGTGTCTCATAAACATTTTATTAGAATTTATAAAAATCTTTAACTTGTTAGTTTGACGTCTTAATATTTAAATGCACAAGGAATACTATTTTGAAAAGTGTAGAGATTGTTCATTTATACAAAAGAAACATTGAAATTTGTGTTCAAATTATTATTTTGCTTTATTAATTTTGCTTAGTACGCAATAGTCTATATTTCATAGGTAAATATATATTAAAATAGATAACTTCTTAAAGAGATAACCGCAGTGTAAAGATGCCACGTTTTCGTTTGCTCTTTCAGAAAGCCATGAACTTGTACACCCTTTAATGTTTTGATTGTAGCTTCCTCATCATGACACAATATTATTTTATTCGAAACCCCTTCGGTGCTACATTGCTATTCATTATTAGTCTTGTGGGAGGCACATTTTGTTCTGTGTACCGAACCATACCTTGCATTACCAGTTCCCCGAGTATTTGCTTAGTCGTGTGTATTATTTCGGCTGCCAAGTTCCGTGAGGCTGTGTGTATGTCCTTGGGGTCCCCCAAATGCGTTATGATGGAAGATGGAAGAGCGTGGCGGAGCAAGGCCCCCAGTCGATGCCAGCCGGCAAGCCCCAATTCAAGTTAAAATCCAAACGAACTTTGCCAAATTGCAAAAGCCACAAAACCAAAACATTTCGTCGCCTGCTGTTGAAGTTCCTTCGACTTGCCTGCCAAGTGCCAAGAAAGTCCCCCAAGAATCGAGCCCAGATGGGGTTTTCCCATCCCCCTATTCCCCCTTCCCCTCTCCTTTTGGCCCTCTGCTTACGTTCTAACCAAAAAGAGTTGGCAGAATTTCTTAATAAACTTTAATGACTGCGGGTGTGCCGGCATGTGTTTGTCACTTTGGCTCCGGGTGCAAGTGCAACTTTGATGGACTCGGGTTACCTTTGGAGCGGACCAGATCCCCTGCCACCTGTTCATTGTTGCCAACTCGGTTGTTTTCTAGCCACAAAGTGCCTCCTCTCCAGGGTCAAACTGTTTAATTTGGCAGCTACCCGATGTACGCCATTATCTAAAAGTTTTAGTCCTATTTACACTTTTAGGAAACATAATAACCTTAGGCGTACAATAAATATTATTGGCCAATGCTTCTTGAATTTAAATTAAACAAATGTTGGCACAGTTTGACAAAATACTAAGGGGAATAATATGCAACGAAATATTCATAAATATTTGGCTTAGCTAATTTATATACATCAAAATAACATTTCCCCAATTTGTGCCAATAATTATAAATTCATATATATGTGATATTTAACGGAAGGGAAAATGAACCACCAGCGGCATATAAATTTATTTATTGGCAAATATTTACTTTATCTCCATATATTCGCATTTTATTCGCATGAATTTAAATAAAGAACAAAATGTTACATTGTTTTTTGGGACAAGGGGCGTAACTAGACTAAAATTTGGGGTGCAGCTTTTTGAATTGGGGAGCAAACTTTTCGAATTATGAATTTAATATAAACATTTCCTGTGGAATCCACATACATTTGGAGGGGAACTCTCCCTAGTTTCAGCCAGCGGGATCAATAAATAATTTAATAATGGAATTGAATTCTTTTTGTGCAAATAAACCTGCTTTAGTTTAGGAATTTGTATTTGTTAAAATTCAATAAAATTATGGCTGATGGGCAACACATGTCATGTTTGTTATTTCTTTATCAGCTTTTCCATGTTTAAAATCTTTATTAAAATCCAATTAAAGGGGTGCTAGTAGGTTGCATTTATAGAATATATATTTGGCTTACATGTTAAATTTAAATTTAAATGGCTTACAACTTTGATTTACTAGCTTGCATATTTTAGTACGATTGATGAGGTATATTTTTAACATAAATTTTAAATATGTTGAATTTTTTATAGCAAAACTTTTATATTTTTTGTAGCATCCCCATGGCTTTCACCTGCTGGCTGCCCGAATTATGCAACGAATTGTCGGCCGACTACTTTGGAGTCCCTCCGGAGATTCGAGCGAAGACTTGAGAAATGGCTAGCCAACAGCCGCATCCTCGAAGACGGCCGTTTCAATTTCGCCTATAATTTACTTGACCATCACGTAGCAGAGTCACGCATGCCGAAGGATGGTATCCTGGGTATCCTTGTATAGCAGGACTCTGTACGGTGGGGCCGTGCAACTGGCTTTGGGGGCGGGGTCAGTGGGGTGGCCGCTCATGCATTACTTATGAAATGACTCCGGTCCGACACAAGGTATCCTAGTTGCCATTGGCAGCATGTTCCCGGATACTAAATTGGAATCGTCCCAATCAATATCGAATCAGAATGGCATTCATTTGCATGCGGATTGACTTCCGAGATGGATATGTCTATCCATTATGCATATAATTGCACGGGATCAATCTTTCGCCACCTAATGGGAAAACTAAGTCGGTTTTGCAAAGTGAAAATCGCCGGGGGAGCTTCTCCTTAAATTTTCCTTAACGACTTTGATATGCACCTTTATGGAACTTTTGGGAACTATGTGACTTACCTTAAACTTTGGCAAAGGGGAAATGTTGGGACTTTTGCCAGTTGTTTTCCGCCACGAGTTGTGGAATATTTAAATATTTTCGGTGTTCTGCGTTAGATAGCACAACATTAGAGCAAACAATGTGTGAAGATGTTTTCTAGTTTGAAGTGTTCTTTTTGTTTGAACAAAATGCAATGTATATCCATTATTAGGTAGAAAAATTATAAAAATACATATTTTATTTCAAGTAAAAAATCTATTTAAATAGATTATATTTTTCTATTTTCAAAATAGCACTTATAAACAGATGAATGGCTTTCGGTTCAACAAATCTCCAACAAATTAATTTTTATGAGTACTTATATCTATTAAAGGGGATTTTTCTCCGAAAAACCTTTAATTCCTCATAAATACTCGATGATTTTTTGGGATTTAAGGTCGAAATGGGTATTTGGAATGTCCTTCGAAAGCTTCTCCCCATCCATATGCATTTCTTACCATAGTGAGACAAACGGCCATGGCTCCTTCGACTTGGCCAGGCCATTGGCAATGACTTTTTTTATACGACTGCGATGCGGTTTTCGCCGCTTAATGGTCTTGGCCATAAAAAGAGTCGTAAGCCACGGAGCGTCCCGTTCCACTTCCGTCCAGCATCTGCAATCGTTTTATTTAACTGCTGACTTGTTTGCGCAAATTAACACATTTATTTACACCACAATTTGTTGCTTAAATATTTATCGAGTGCGGAGACGAAACGCCACCGAAAAAACAAATTGAGCGAGGGCAGTAACATTAAAAATTTTTCGTTTATTTCATATACAATAAGTACATCCAGATAAACATATACATATCCAAGTCCATACAATACACATATACATAGAGGCATATATATCCGCGAATACACATGCAGAGACGATTCTTTGTAATCATATCACACACACAAACGATATGGCACGCATACTGGCTCGCATGCAGCATAATTGAGAGTAAATTAGCGCTATACTTGTATATAGGAATTGCTCAGCCCGTTCCGCAAGTCATCCTTGCTCGCTCTCGTCCTTTCTCGCTCGCCCATTCCTATTTCCATTACTATCTAATTCCCCATCGACGCACTCAGAAAAAAAAGTGTCGCAATCAAATGAAAGAGTCCTTGACGTACATACTAAAATAAGTTATAAATAACAAAATAATATTAATTCAAAAATAACCATATTTAAAACTTTAAAAATAATTTTATTTAAAAAATGTAAGCTATAGGCTTTCTAAACTGTTAGCTAAACTTTTTTACGTATTTAATAAAACTTTGCGATTGAATATAATTGAATTTGTTTAGGAAATATTTTTTAAAACACTTAGGCTATCAGTACCAGATAATATTTAAGATAAGATTTAAAGAAAAAAATTAACAACAAAAACTATTGAAAATAAAGTCCTTAATTTAAATTTAATTTAAATTTATTGGGATACTGTTAGGCTAGCAAACGTATACTACTTTTTTAAATTAAAGAAAACATCTTTATAAATAAATTATACGTAATCATTTAAAGGAAATCCTTTTATAATCCCCATATTTCATATTCGATTTTTTTCTGAGTGCCTGGGCATCCTGGGGCCCGTATCCCCACATTGATATGGTTCCGCTTGAGCGAGAACGCTTAAATTCGCTGGATGTGGCAATTGTTGCATTGCCCCGCGCTCAGGCCGTAAAAAATGGCGAGCACGCCGAGCAGCCAGCACCAGGATGTGGGCGCTCGGGCGGTGGGGGCGTGTCCTTGCAGCGGCAGCTGCTCCTTCTCCAGGCAGAGCCGGAACTCATCGTAGTCCAGGCGCGTGATGGCGCAGTAATGATTGAGCATGCAGAGGCCCGTGCAGGCCGACCCGGACTGATATCGCACGGCGTTGGCTCGGTGGTATCTGTGTGGCGAAAAAAAGAAAATAGAAAATGGGGAAAAATCGAGGAAAAACGAGAAAAAACGTGAAAAAATAGTACAGTGAGTCGGTAGTTTTGGTTGTCATTTGGATGCCCTGTTTGCTTTGGCCTGTATCGCCGGGCAGCCGTGCTTTCATAAATGCTCTTAGCCGAGTTACTATCTCCCATTTTGATTTACATATTGCAGCACCTCTTCGGCGGTTGAAAGCGTTCAAAATGATTGAAGGAGTCTACCTGTGTCCCCTTTACTCTTACTCTCCCATCCGAATTGGATTTCCAGATAAGCTCTACACTTTTTGCTCAACTGCTTTTGAAAGTAAAACTTTTAAAACGAATTGAAACTGTGTATTGAAATTGATTCATTAAAGAGATATTATCAATATGAAACCTTTTTCTTATATTATTTTTATTACATGACTTTTATTAACATCAACAGCATGTATGCTATATAACATATAAAAAAACCACTTGTGAAAAACTCTTTAATTTAATTAACAAAAATACTCTTGATCAAAATCTTTCAAAATAAATCAACAAATATTGAGAATCAATTTTATTCCTTTCTGGGATTTTCATTACACAAAACAGAATTTAAGTTTAAACTTCCAGAAAAAAAAAATCTCTTTTCCTCGATTTCGTTTTATTTATCTGGTTCTCAGTTCAAAAGAAAAATACCAAAAAACTTTTCAATGAAAAGCACAATTAATTGTGATAAAAATTATACCAGCATATGAACATTTTTTTATGGTTTTATTTTAACACCGAAAAAATGTCCTTTTTTTAACCGGAAGGCTTTGAAAAATGAGAACTGGATTCATGGGGGTAAAGTAAAAAGTGATTTACGTTTTTTAAGTGTGTAAAAACCGTAAAATGCTTAACGAGAACACGGTTTTAAAAAAACATTTTTCCATGTAATTCAACAAATTTAGCAGCTAAATGTTAAAAAGCGATATGGTTGCTGGGGTTTAAATTGTTACATTTTTTAAAAGGTGTACTTTTTTTTATAGAGTTATTAATTGAATAATATACAAAATGTTACCTTAAGAGCTTTATTCAGATGCTTTTTGGATAAAAGTAATAAGCTTTAACAAATGACTATTTTATCAACATTAATTAATTAATGACATTTTTATTTCTATTGAATCACAATAATCTTTTTATATAACCTTTTAAAGCTGTTTTTTTGGGATCAAATAATTATTTAATTAGAGTTTAATTTCCCAGAAAAAATAAAATTGATTTTCATACACCAAGATATGCTAACCAACTCTTTGTAAAACAATTTACTCAATAGCATAATATAGATTCCCATTGGTAATCTGATTACTGTAAGGATTTCTCACCTGGTGAACCAGGAGACGTCCGTTCCCGTGAACCGCTCCGCGAAATTGTGCAGCGCTCCGGCGGAGATGTCGAGGAGGGCGTAGTAGTTGGTCAGGTTGTACTCCGGCTGCCAGGTGGGCTCGTTGGCCCTGTTGGCCAGCGGCAGGTCCAGCCAGAACTGGGTGTAGTCCAGCACCTGGCCACTTCCCGTATCGAACTTGTAGAGCCGCAGGGCGGGATTATTTGATGAGCCGATTCCCGCCTTCCGGGGCACAATCGATGGGGCAATCATCAGCCACGAAATGGGATTGCCTGCCAGCGAATACAAATATTAGCTGTGCACAAAATTTAACGCATTTTTATGGCCCGCAATATATGGCTGTGATTTTTTGAACGGCGAAAAAATACAGAGGGAATTTCATGGAATTTTCGATTCCAGTGCTAATTTATTTTGCCAGAAATGTTTTTTGTTATTTATTTAAAACTCATAAAATATTGCCTTTGAGTTATAAAAAGATTTTTATATTTTATGAACATTAACATATGTGTTTCGTAAAATTAAAGATTCATTACCAACCAGCTAAAATTACTTTTTAAAATATGTAATTATTTGACTATTTCTTTTTGCAATGATAATAAAATTGGCAAGGAAATCAAGAAATATGATGGAAAAATTAAATGAAGAAACAGAGAATTGAAAATAATGTTAAATTATATTTATTTTTAATATTTAAAAAGCTAAAGAGCTACATTAAAATCACTAAGAGTATAGTATGAAAATAGGAAGTAACCATTACCTTTGGCATCGTAGATCAGGCGGAAGGTGTCCGAGTGAAGGTGACCGAAGAACTGACCCTGGATGACCGGAGCAAACCGCCGTACCATTTCCAAGTACCTTCGGTTGTTGCGCTCCGTGAAGGACAACTGGTTGTGCTGGGGACCAAGATGACGTTCATCGACGCCCGGCGGCATGTGACCCACTATATAGACCTGGGGACAAGGACAACAGTCAACAGTTTCAGTTCATTTAATCCAACAGGCGAATCGGATGAAATCAATTCATGCTGCTGCAAATTAAATATTATAATTAATCAAAAGGGCAGCGCGCTATCCGATTCGATTTACTGGCAACTGATGGCCAAGGAGCAAGGGCAAATAATAATATTGAATATTTACGTATGAAAAATCATTTTCAGTATCTCGTTAATTTCAGGAAAGTTTCAACTTTGACTTTATTCCATGCGAGCATTTAATAATTGTACACAATTACTCAATTAAATTTGATTTTTGATGCAAATTTTTATAGTACATTTTGCGGGCTTAATTAAAAATAAAACAAATGGAGCAATTGCAGTTCACTTGAAAAGACTATTTTAAGGATTCAGGGGAGTATCAAATACTTAATTTAAAATGTTTGAAAAAATAATAGATTTTCCGTACCGTTTCCTGTTTTTCCCTGGACTTGGTGAGCACCTCTTCCAGCCAGAGCCACTGCTGCTCGGCCAGGAGCTCATCCTCGGCCGAAACGGAGCTCACGGAAGCCTTGGGTTCCGCGAAATACTCCGCTGGCCACCGCAGACTGAGCGATGCCCGGGGATCCGGATCGGGATCGAGTCGCATGAAGTTCGTGTTGAGCGCCACAATCCGCAGACGACTCTTCGTCTGCTCGATGGAGTAGTAGCCGCCCTGTTCGAAGGTCACCAGAGCCTCCGATGGCAGCCAGTGGCGCCACAGTTCGCCCAATCTCGCGTAGCTGCCACTGCCGTCCTCGTGGCCCAAAACCGGAAAGATGAACTGCGAGGAGAAGCTGCGTCCGAGGAGTTCCGTGATGTTCCGCAGGATCTCGTGCTGCTTCTGCTCGGAAAGCGGTTGGGCGGAGTGCGAGAGGGCATCGCCAGTCCACAGGACGAACTCCACATTGTCGCCCTGCTTGGCCTTCATGGTCTTCACCGCCGATTCGATCAAGCTCCACGGACTGTCGCAGTTGTAGTGGCCAAAAGGACCCGGTGGCTCTGGGTTCGCACTGTTCGCATTGGAACTGGACACCGATCGAGCCAACTGCCAACAGCTCCTGTAAATGTCTCCTTGGGTCGAGTACAAAGTGTCCAGGTGCAGGTCGCTGATGTGCCAGAAATAGCCTGTAAAAAATGGAAAAAGAAAAGGCTTATTAGGTTTCAATAAACCAAAAAAAAAAAAAAAAATTTGAAATGGAAGGAAAAAAAATTAAAATATTTATAGACTCACTTATATTCATAAGCAATTAATTTAATTGCCTTAAAAATATGTATCTTAAAATCACTTAAGGATATCTTTGTTACTTTCTCAATTACACATAATTTTTATTATTTATTTAAGGATTTATCAAGCTTGAGATTAAATGCCAGTTAAAATATAACTCAGATATAAACCTTAATGTGCCTGAAAAATACCAAATTGCATCCCAATTTTGTGTGTATTTCCGTGAAGTGAGGAAATAGGGATCGAGATTAGACTTTGACTTTGGCTAAGTCAAACCCGGCAATTCCTCAAGGCGAAGGGTCTTTCCCCGGGGCATTTTCCAGCCGGCTGGGCGAGGTCGAGCTTCAAAAATGAAGGAAACCCCCGTCAGATTTCCCTGCAGCTGAGATTGGTTGGCTGGTTGGTTGACTGACCTGAGTTGGTTTCTACCTGGTTACAAAGTCACAAAGTCGCTCAATTAGCGAGTCAACATTTTGAGCGCCGGCCAGCAGCGAAGATCAGTTTTTATTTGGCATGCCCATCGATCGGTTGGCCAAGAGCGATTGCGAGAGAGGACCGAGTACCATTAATTTGCAAGGAGGCTATCCTTTCATGCCCGGCGAGAGCAAGGACGAAGGCGGAGCAAAAGATCGAGCAGGATGAGCACGATGAGGTTGGGACTGGCGCTGCTGCTTCTGTTGGCCACCGCCTCACAGATGTGGCAACCGGTCCAGGGACGCCGTAAAATGTGCGGCGAAGCGTTGATCGAGGCTCTGGAAATGATCTGTGTTAACGGCTTTTCGCACAGAGTACGCCGAAGTGATGGTAAGGCATTAAACTGGCATTAAACTAATTTTCCAACTCCATTTTAACTTCAAAACTCCCGCAGGAGCAAAGGATAGAGTGCGTGCTCTGATTCGAAAGCTTCAGCAGCCGGAAGAGGAAATGGAAACGGATAGGGAATCTGAAACTGATACGGATAAGGATCAGGATAGGAATAAGGAAACTGAACCACCGGCTGGCAGAAGTGGACGCAAATTGCGGCGCCACCGGCGCAGAATCGCCCACGAGTGTTGCAAGGAGGGCTGCACCTACGACGATATCCTCGAGTACTGCGCCTAATGACCACCACTCACCACTCACCAGTTACCAGATTCAGATCCTTCAATCCAAGAAAAAAAAAAAAAAAAAAGAGAACCAGATGAACCCGACTTGGCTGAGATTTTTTATGGCGGCAGTGGGCGAATTCGGGGGCCGAATGACGTGGACTTTTCCTTAAATGGCTTTTTGCAATTCATTTTCCTACACTTAACCCCTAACTATAGAACCTAATCGTATTTCCAAATATTTTCATTGTAAAATTTCCTAGTGGAAGCAAATAAAGTTAACTCTACAAGCAGCAGCAGCAACAAAAGCACATAGACTTTTCGTTTTTTCAAGCCCCACTGGCAATCCAGTTGTGCTGTGGTGGGGTAAATCCCCACCCCAAAAGCCACCCAATCCACCTGAAAGCCAACCAAAAACCCACCCACAAGCAGCTGCCATTGAGCAACTCCATGGCGGCTTTCCTTGTTTTCCGAGAACAATAATGGAAATTATGAATTTTTAATTAGTTGATGTTCTGATTTTAATAACAGGAACAAAGGTATCTACGGAACGAACAAGGAATACACTCGGTTTTAATATTTTCATATCTCTTTTATATTTTGTTTGTTGTTGTTGAAAGAGCACAGATAGTTGACCCAAATAAAAAGGGGAAAACAAATAAACAACTTCCAATCAGTAGCGGGTTTTCCCAAAGATAAGTCACTGTTTACCCAAACATTTTGGGGTGATAACAATTCCGGGCTGACAGGTAAAAATCTACCTGATTTTGCAGGACTTAAAGGATCAGACCGCTTATCACATTCAAATGGACCTGGGGAAACCCTAAGGTGTCGAGGCACTTTCCCGGGATAATGAGATAACAGAAGCTGTGTTATTGTTTTCCACTCGAAAGCAATTGAATAAGTTCGCTCTTGTTTTTATTCAAATGAGGAAGTGGCGACTCGTTCGCAGAGGCTGTTAAAATGGTTATTAAAATCAGATGGCTTGTGTTTTTATCATCGCGATTTTAAAGCATTATAAATGTCTTTTATATTGAATTCCCGATTTATTATAGCGGCGCAGTTAATTATGTTTTAAGCTAACTGATTTTCAATGATTTATTAAAGGCACATAGTCACTGCATATTAACTTGTTTTAATTGGATTGTAATACCTATATTTTTTAATAATAACATTCAACAGAATTGCATAATTTTATTAAATTTCTGAAATGACAGACAAAGTTAAATGAACTTTTGCTCCTTTGATTTTATGCCAATTAATTTGTAAATTTGAAGTGTATATGCATGCAAACAGGATGCTGTAAACTTATTAATGCAGTGTGACAAACAAACTTTAAGAAGCACCACCTTGGCAGGCGCATTTTAATATTCATAGAGCTGCTGAAACCACTGAAATTGATTTTCCACAAGTTTTTCCACTCAAAGTTTGCCAACTTAAGATGAGTTATGTGGCACACGATGCCAAAATTTTTGAACACCCATCGTGTGTCGAAGGGAAGCAGCTCGGATGCACGTCATCTTGTTTTTCAGCAATCAAGATCCGTGCGTTATTTTATGGGTGAGAACGTAAACAAACGTCAGCTGATGTGCGAAGGACCTCCGAAGGACTCAACCCCAGAAAGCTCTCATTTCAGGCATTGGAAGCCTCTGTGAAGGGATAACAAACAACCCACACCGCATTGGCAGCTGAAAAGTAGACCACTTCGAAGAATGTGGCTAACTGACACTGCAGCTAACGCATTTTGACAGTGCTCAGACTATAGTTACGTGGGATATGCGACTTGCAACTCGGATCGGATCGGATCGGGTCCGATTAGTTCCTTTGCACATATATAAACCCTCAGCCGATGGCTGGCAGCCAAGCAGTTGTGGCCGGGCCACTTGTCAGACGGTATCACAATCAAAGTAATAAATAAATTCATAAGAGAACCTTCATTAAAACCCTGAAATATGCGGGTAAATCAGGACAGGAGGATGCTAATCCACGGGTTGGTCCTGCTCATCCTTATGATCGGCAGCGTTCAGGCCACCATGAAGTTGTGCGGCAGCAATCTGCCCGAGGCCTTGTCCAAGTTGTGCCTCTACGGCTTTAATACCATGACCAAACGGAAATTGGGTATGTGTGAAGCAGAACTTACTAATAATCTTAATAAATATACGTCTTAAATATACGTCTTCTGAATAGTAACATATAATAAGGTCAAGTCATTTAGAAACTACTAATGATTCCAAAAAAGGATTGCACATAATTTATTAATTACTAATTAGAAATTTCCAATAGTTCAAAACAAGGCTATACACTTGAGGTTAAAAAATTACAATGATCAAAAAATCCTATGCTCATATTAGTTATAGAAATTTTAAATATTTAAAAAATAAATTAAATGTAATTATACATCTTATTATAATTATTAGACTTGAAGATACATTTAACGGAATCAATTAATTTATTTGATACAAATGTAATTTGAATTTTTTTGTGAATTTTTACTTTGCACCTGCAGATCCCATGAACTACAACCTGATTGGAGAAGGGCAACTCGACCTGGGTTTTGACGACCGTTCACTTCTGGAAAGGATGTTAACCGAGAGCTCCGTTCAGCTGCTGAAGACACGACGCCTTCGGGAAGGAGTCTTCGATGAATGCTGTTTGAAATCCTGCACCATGGACGAACTGCTAACGTATTGTGCCAAGCCCAAAACGTGAATCTCCTCTTAACCCGCTGACAACATCTTAAAACTATCGAAGATATTTTATAAACCTGGTAAAAAAAACCAATAACTCGATTCGATGTTTGGATATGGTATATATATGCATGTGGGATGTACTCAAGTATGTGTATGCGCATAATTTATTATCGGAAACCAGAGACAGACACGCAAAATGAATCGGAACACGGGATGTTATGCTTGGTACATGGGTATAAATAATTAAATAAATTATGTATTCAAACTGCTGCAGATTGGCGAACTTGATTGGTAATTAAACGGGTATTACATTGATTTTTCATTGTCGTTCATTGCAGTTAATTATTTATTGTCCAACCAGGCGGAGTTCAGTTCGCAACTATGTTAAAAGGAAATAAAGATTCTATCGAGCTCTGCAGACTATTTAACAGAAAATTATTTCAATATTTTGTTTTTCACAGATGAGAAGCAAGGAAATTATTTGATTTTATATAATCAAATAGCGAAATCAATACTGCATTGAAAAATAAGAGTCAATAATTTAATCACTGTTTTTAATCAAATAAATGGTATCTATGATATATATTAAATGTTATCCATATTTTTAAATAAACATTTACTTTCGAATTTTTGATGCAAAAATAATTTGGGCACATTGGTTTGATCGTAAAGAGCAATTATTTTACGAAAATAACTTTTAACTACTTGTCATTAAAAATTAGTAAAGTGTGCAGACAATCAAAGTTAATTTATGCCCTAATTAGTTTCGTTTTTTAACATAAATAAGCTATCAACTGAAAAAGTAAACCTTTTAGTATCGGCTGTGTATTTTAGCTTTCATTATGTCGACAAAACTAAGATTAATTTTTCGCCTGATTGTCTGTTTAATATTAATCAAAGCGGTACGAAATTTTTCTTTGGATCAAACAATTTTACTTTTAAGTGGTTTACAGAATTTTTCGAAAGTTGAGTTTACGAATCTGAAATGTACCGCTTTGGATAAACTGTTCATTGACTTCGAGTATTGCTTTATAAAGTCGGTGAATCGCAGCTACAAATACTTTTCTATAAAGGCCAAATTATTACAGACACCCGTGACCAAAGCAAAAGTAAGTTTTTAGTCGTGTTATGTGGATATGAATGATAAAAGTTCTGACTTTAAAGGTAAACGTTTTGTTGAAAAAACGATTTAATGGATACAGGCCATTCTTATATACCTTTACTGTGGACTCGTGTAGATTTATGAGAAATCGTACATCCAATCCAATAGCCAACTACTTTTTCGGATTTCTGGAAACCTATACAAACCTAAACCATACTTGTCCCTATACTGTAAGTTTAAGGTGGTATTTTCGACGAGACTTAAACTTTGACCTTTTTTTTTAGACCGACCTCATTTTCGATAAGGTGAATACTGAATATGTTGATCACAAGGTTTCACGTGTTTTACCTTTTCCCAAAGGCGATTATTCCCTGGAAAGCACTTGGCTTGCTTATGACAAAAATGTTGCTCTTTTAGTGGTTTATGTTAATCTATCTTAAAATTATAATAACAAATAAAATGCAAAAAGGATTTACTGGCTCCAAAAGAAATGTTAAAGTTGGTAAGAAAACTAAAATTGTAGAAACCCAATTTCATTTGTCATTAACGAGATCTTGTATTTCTGCAGCCTTTATGTTTGCTAATGCCAAAAGCAGTGTGTATTTAATCAATTTAATAATATATTTCCACAATCGGTAACATGCAACAAGCGATTTAAACAACATAGTTCGTAATGGTATAATGCACGTGGTTGGTTTGGAACCAGATCCAGAGATCATCAGGTAGGGTCGCTCGATCCTTGGGTAAACGGTGGCTTAGTAGGCAACGGAGCAATACTCCCGGACGACGTCGATCTTGCAGGGCTGCTTGCAGCACCGCTCCACGATTCCCTGTCGAGTGCGTCTCCTGATGGCCGCCATCGAGCTCATCACACTTTCGCGGAAATAGTTGCCATAGGGCGTCATATCGGAAACCGAATTATCATCGCTCTCCGTTTCCTGAACGAACTGCAGGGGATTCAGTGAATCGCCATCGTTGTCAACTGTTTGAGGTTTGAGGTTTGTATTGAAATTCTGTAAGGAAGCTTTGAGGATCTACTTACGCATGCCGCGTTTGTGGGGAATCACCGGATTGAACTGCTTGCAAACAATGGACAACATATCGTTGAGCCTTTCGCTGCACAAACTATACTGAGCCACCGCGGAATGGGCCAGAAAAATCACGACGAGCATGGAAACAATGGTCAAAGACTTGCACATAATGGCGGGTTTTTTTTTTTTTTTTTTGGATCTAAGGGTTATTCGATCGAAGGGATTAACTTGGGTCGAGTCGTCGGGTTGAATGCTAACTGATGCTTTTGGTAGCAAAGAACCAGGCTTATATACAGTTTGTAAACTGGGTTTGGGTTCTGAATTTGGGATCCCTTCGGCTCTGCACACACTTTATGTCACTTTGTATTAGGGCACGTTGAGTGCACTTCGCAGTTTCTCCCCTTTTTCTTATTGGGCTTCTAACGCCTGGCTAAACTCGTTCAATGTCAAAGCTGACTTATGCAAATGTCTATTGGAAATTTTGTGGGCGGTGTGTGTGTGGTGTGCGGTGTGTGGGCGTTTGCTGTCAGCCAATTAAACAATTTATGTATAAACAGCCAGGACGTGCTAAGCCCTGCATTTATGAATATCAAATGAGTCCTTGGCTCTAAAGACTGGCTGCCTTCTCACTTCCCCGTTTTCCCTCCTCGATTTTACCCCCTCGATTCCCCACGAGTGTCCTTTGTACTTACCAATTCGCGACTGGGCGGGATTGAAGAAGGCCAAAAGCCAGAGCCAGCTGAAAGGAGCCAGAGCCAGCATCCTGGCAACGTTTTTGCGATTTACGCCTCCTTAGAACTTTTCCTTTGACTGTTGTCTTTGCAGCTTCTCAAACAATTTCCTTTTGCACTGTCTACTTTTATTCATTAGTCAAAGTTGCTGCTGCATAAATAAGTGATTACGAATCGGATTACGAATGTTTCGCCGGGTATATATGCTATATGTGTGTATGCTCATATGGTATGTATGTGTGGCTGTGTATGTATCGTATGCTAATGGATAATGAGTGGGGATTATGTGGGTGCCTATTTGGGGAGACAGTAGGCGGCGAGGTCCTCGTAGGAGCACGACTTCACACAGCACTCATCGTAGACGCCACCCGGCAGATGTCTCCTGTGGCGAGGCGTCTTCACCAGGATCTGAATGCCATACAGGTTGGTCAGCAGGGGACTGAAGGAGTAGCCAGCTGCTCCAGCCAGTCCCGGCCACAAAGCATTATCCGGCAGCTCCTCCGATGGCAGGACACCGCGCTTCTGGGGCAGCGAATTGTAGCCGTGGGCACACACCACATCCATGGCATCGGACAGAGCCGGACCGCACAACTTGTGGTTCCCGGGCGGCAATTGGTGACCACTCACCGTGGCAGTGGCATACAGGATGGCAATGATGGCCATGAGGAGAGGCACGACGAGCCGGAGGCCATGAACTGCACCGTTGTCCTTGGCAAACATCTTCGCTCTGTTTGGAGTGCTTGGCACTGCAACTGGTATTTATACCAGTGAATTACTGTTGCCATCCAATGCAGTTCAACCACCTCTTTAGCTTCTGCTTTGGCTTCTTGGTTGCAGCGAGCTGCCCTCGCGGAAACCTTCTTATCACCTTTATTTGGGACACGGTCCTTTGACCTAAAAGTGCTCGCTTCTATTCTTAGCTTATCTCTCAAATTGCAGGATACAAAAACTGCACTGTTAATCTGTTTTCGATATTATATTTCAGAAAGTTTTCTCTGGTAAATAGTGAAACATGTGCAGAAAACCAAGTACACTCAATATTACTTGTGGGTTGATCTTTTAAACAATTCTCAAAATTATATGCTTCTAGTTTAATAATTGATAAATAAATAATAAATAACTATATTAAAAGGAACATTCCAATAACTTTCTTGGACGTAGTTTTTAATTCTAAGAAGTAAAATAAATACAAAATGTTTGCACAAAAGAAATGTACGATTTAAAAGAAGAATTAAAACTTAAAAAGAATTTTACCATAACCTCTTTTGTTTGAGAATTTAAAAACTATTCACTCATTCATTCACAAATTTAGTTCCCTTGGATCGCCCCTCGTTTCCCCCCTTTCCCCATTTACCAACACTGTTTAGGCAATTAATTTGTTCGAGTGTAATCAGCTGTTAAATTCCGCCCACTCGCTAACCCTTTCGCCCAACCTGTTACTTTGCCGCTAAGAGGCTCTGACTGCTGTCGATTGCGATTACGATTACGCCCGATTTGCGGTGGTGCCACCAAAGGGGGCAGAAGTGGAGGATGTGGGGACTCCGGCGGAACTGACAGAGTGGCAGCCTCATTTGCATGACGAGGCAAGGTGGAAAGTATGCTTCAATGGGGGAAAGTATGCTTCTCCCTCTTTTGGTGGCAGTGTGCGAAATCGCTTCGATCGACGAGCGATTGTTGAGTATTCACGGCGATGCCAACAGTTGGTTGCCAGCGCTGCACTCGAAACGTTTTCTCTTCCCCCAAAAAAAAAAAAACCACAAAGCTCCGGAAAAGCAGGCAAAAAAGCCGTCGCGAAGTAATCGGAAAAACTCTAAAGCAACAAAGAAAAAAAAAAACAAAAAACAACTCGGAATAAATCAAGTGAAAATGGTGGTCGACATTAAGATGTGCCGATTTGATAATGTGCCCTGGGGCTTTCGACTCGTCGGCGGAGCAGACTACGACTATCCGCTGACGGTGGTTAAGGTTAGGCCCGATCCGCTGGGAATCAGATCTATATATATATTGCTTTCCCCACCTCATCTGTCACCTGGCGGTGGTTTCACCTGTGTGGTTTTTGGAAATATCGCAGTTTATCCCATCGACTGGCGGATTATTTTTAGTGGTTTTCGATAAGCTCTTTTTTTCCAATTTTTTTTCTGGCTGCAATTACGTAACGCAGTGCGTGTGTGTCCGATCGGATTTGCTGCATTGGCAAATTAGTTAATTAAAGTAATTCCTCGCAGGCCAGTGCTCTTTTGTTTATCTAATCGACAGAACCATGCATTTCCCGCTAATGAGCCGCATAATGGCAGCTACAATAAACTTATTCGAATTTTAATTGTGTTTCAGTTGCGTTTCGTGTTGTGTGTGTTGTCTGCGCATAAATTGCATTTGCCCATTCGGATTTTGTAACATTGTGTTGACAACGGCAGCGAAAAGCATCAGTGTAAATCCGAAACAAATGCGCTTTTTAATTGGCAAACTGTAGGCGCAAACAACAAATGGCCGAATTGCGAGGGTCGCTGAAAAGTCCATTCCGCTCGATTTCTATAAATCAATTTAAGCCGCCGCATTGTTACATATAAATAAGGGAACAATTATAAATTGTATTGGCCAGTTAAGATATTTTTTTTTACAAATTGTGTTTATTTTGAAACAATGTGGAGTTCATATTTGAAGTAGAGTCTTATTGTTTAATTGTGATTTTTCACTTAAATGGGATTGAAGGAACTCTAAGTTATGATAGGAGTTTAAACCCATAAAAGCTTTCTATTTTCTTGCTAAATGGTTTTAAATAAGTCATAAAGTAACAAACCATAAATAGTCGAATAATACATTTTGTGCAATAGTAAACAAAAAAGTTATAACAAATAGAAATTAAATGCAAAATGAGTCTAATAAATATTTTATGAGAAGTGAAGCATGATTCACCACAAAAAAAAAATAAAATCAAATTTATAGCTGAATGTTGCTATTATTTAGAATTTAATATTTTATTGGTTGCATTTATTGAATAATTGATTTAACAAAACTTTGTAGAACATGCAATAATACGGAGTTGTATTATTCCTCCATGTTGGTTCTGCCAACACTAAACAATCGTTTGTAATCTTTTGAAAACCCTCTGTTTATTTAACCACTCTTCATTCTGCCGCAAACATATATCCAGCTAAGCTGTAAGCCTGTCTTCTATAAATATTCGCAACCGCCGTTGTCGATGTCGAGTGTTTTTCTAGCCTGGCGCATTCACCGCTGGAAATTGACTCCGCCATAAGTGAAATGCAAGTGAGACCCCAAAGGGAAGAAAATACCCTTGAGTTGATGGGTGTTTTACCACCCATTCCCATTCCCGCCCATTTTTCCATTTTCCTCTTTTGCGGTTGCTCGCTTGCAGTATTTGCATTGCTAAGTCCTCTTGGCAGTCGGTGTCGTGACTTTCTGGTTATGAGCCCAGCTTTTCCGTAACGGAAACGGCAACAATCACCGCGAAAACAATGGCGTTTATTTGCCCGGGAAAGTGTTGCAAAACCACCTGAATTATACAATAAAATTGTATGTACAAAAGTCCTCAAGGAGTTGGCTTTTAAAACGCAAGGCGCAATCTTTGCCGCGTGATTTTCCTTTTAACTCATAAATTTTGGCTTCCGAAAACCACATGTATGCTATTAAGTTTAACGCTGTGTATTGTTATAATCTTCGGTAAATAGCTACAATTTTAATGCTCAATTTGCGCCAATTTGTCTGTAGTTTATTACCCACAACAGTCATAAAGCTTATTTTGTATTTAGTTTCTATTGTGCCACCACTTTTTTCGACATAAAGTTCTTTTCACTTTGATTTATTGTTGTAAAAAAAACTAATTGTCAAATGAAAATGTTAAATAATGGCTTTTGTTGTTGAGCCTTTTGATAACTTTTTGAACTTTTGTTATATGGAAAAAAGTAAGCTATTTATTTGTAAATAAAGGTGCGAAATTCATTGCTTAACAATTATAAAAACTAAAAAAGGTTGATTTTTTGTTTAAAGCTTTTAGCGAAAATTGAAACAGATTTATGACAGGAATATAAATTTTCTTTTTTTGCAAATGCATTTGAGTATTTTTAAAACTATTTAGAGGAAATGTAAAATAAAAGAGTAGTTTTTTCTCAAATGAAATACCGAAATAATAAAGTCAAACTATAAAATGAGAAATTAATTTAAAGCAGAAAGAATGCATTTTTAACCAAGAGAAGAGCAATTCATTGTGATGATATTATATTTGAAAATTATGGTTTTTGTAGTGATCTTAGAAAACCATCCGCTTTTCCGAAGACAAAGCCCTATTTTCCATCCGCAAAACATTGTTATATTTAAGTGGTCAGACTCGGGTAATTCCACTTAATTAAAGAGTCGTTGATGAGATGCCACTTGTTCTCGAGCACCCCTCGTTCTCGATCCCCCGGACGGAACCCCTCCCCCTTGGGGCATTGTCTTCGGTTCGCTTGGATGTGCGTGCCTGGTTTTGTTGGGGTCTGGGTCCTCTGGTCTTGTGGTCTTTGTTTTGATGACATTTGGCGCGCGTTTTATTTTTATGCACTCAGCACGCGACGGCTAATAGAAATTCGCCCATTATCGCATCCATTGTGCGAGTATCTCTCTCGCTCACAGCTTTTCTCCTTCCACCAGCGACTGTATCTGTATCTAAATTCATGGTATCTGGATCTGAATCTAACCATGTTCATACACTCTAAACCAAACGATAGGTGACCGAGGGCAGCATTGCTGACGAGGCAGGACTCCGGGTCGAGGACATCGTCGTGCGCATCAATGACACCGCTGCCACGCCCCTTAGCCACGATGAGGCCCACCGCCTCATTATGAACAGCGGCAGCGTCTTCTACTTCGGCGTCTACCGGTGAGCTTCCTCCTATTTTCCTCCCCTTTTCCTCCGTTTTTCCATTTCCATCCAGCTCCTGGCCTTGGTCCTTTCCTTTCCTGCCTTGGGTGGCCTTTGTGTCCCATCCGCCGAGGACCATTTATCACAGCTGAGCGGGCTAACAATCCGAAGGCATTTTAGTTTAGTTATTCCCTCGCTCCGGTGGGTGCTTTAACTTTTTAGGGGAATTACTAAGCACAAACGATTGCTTCTCTGCATAATAAGTCGAAAAGTAACTAGTTGGCCTCTAAAACTCATTAGTTACAGATACTTAAGTGTTAAAACCTTATTATTAATCTCTATCTAACAAAAAAACAAGTTTGATAACCTATAAACTTTTCGAAGAGTTAAAAGTCAAAAAGTTCTATGCAAAATTGATTAATATCGGAAAACAAGAACTTTGTAAATTTTTCAACATTTTTTAACACAAGTTTGAAAATATTTTATTCAGGTATTTGTACTTAAATTGTTTGAAATTTTGGTTAATGTAGGATAACTAATAGTAAATAAGGATATTCAAGTAAATAAATATTAGCAACGTTAAGAATTATTTAATACAAAATTTAAAAGCTTAAGAGTTTTGTTTTTGTGTTTAAACTAAAGTCAAGTTAGGTCTTGTTTAAAATGTTTCCTAACCCTATAGATGAATAAAAATAGACTTTCCCAAGAACCCTTGACTGTATTTGCAGCATTGTTTCCGCATCCCTTCTCACGCTAATAAATCCAGCTCATTCTTGTCCACCGGCAGGGAAAACGAGGAGGACGCCTACGAGTGCCTCAAGAAGTTTCCCACGAGCGATGGTTCGTTGACCATTTCGCCGTCGCCAACTCCATCGCTGTCCCAGCTGCCGGAAGCCACAAATGCTCGCAGTCCGGAACCGGAGTCCTTCATCCCGCCTCCACTGGAATTCTCAGCGTCTATTACCGCTCCAGTTGAGAACGTGGACATGGATGTGGATGTGGGTAGCCTGGCTGAATGTCGCCAAGTCGCCGTGTCGGAAGTGCAGGCGGAAGACAATCGCGGGAATTGTCTGCCCGTCGAGGCAGAAGGGCATCCCATTCCCTCCACTGCCACCGCCACTGCCACTGGCATCGAAGGACTCTACTTGCCCGATTTGCCCGATCGCCCGTGCTCCGTGCTGTCCGAAAGGCAGGAAATTAAGCTGGTGGAGGAGGAAATTGCAGCTGTGCTGTCCGGCGAATCGGAGGTGCTCAAGGAGCACAATGTTCTCGGGTGCGTAGCATTCAGTTTCACCACTTTCCCACCCAACCCCTTTTTTGTATCCCTATTTCCACTATTTACTGAAATGCCACTGCAACTGGCGAGTTCTTTTAACCGCTTCCATGTCATAGCGTCAATTTCTACAGGATCTTCCCCAAGCCGGGCGTCTGCATGTCCAGCGATGTCCTGCGCTCCCTCAACGAGGAGGTGACCAAGACCAAGCTGGAGAAGGACAAGGAGAACCGCCAGTGGTCCACCTTCCTCCAGCGACCCAATCGCCCGGTTCCCAAGAGCAAACAGGCCTTGGAGGCGGAGAGACGGGCGGCCAATGCCTACAAGGTGTCGATTGTCAAGTCGGCGCCACGTGAGAAGTCTCCCATGGTGAGTGGCTCCTCTCCAGTCCGGTCTTAAAGCACCCACAGGAAAGTGTAACTGAAAGCTGGAATTGTTTTTCCGAAAAACCCAAAACCAGCAAATGAGCAGTTCCTAGGTGTGAAGTTGTGAGCACTTTGAAAAATGTGTGGCAAAAGTTAGAAAGCTTTTACACAAATTTGGGAAGCTAAACTTTTGATCAGAAAACTACCAAAAACCTTTTTATATAAACCAAATTTTGAAGATTTTAAAGTCGTTAATTCATAATATTAATAATTTAGTTGCTTTTAATTGTAAACTTTTTTTCACCGAATCAAAGTTTCCAATCTCCTCAATTTTTTAACAAGTATTAAAAATCTTTCTCTTTTTTGTTTGACTTTATAGATTTTTTTTTGTATTCCTAACAAATTAAATAAACATAATAAGCGTATCTTTGAGACTATATTAAACTATTATAATATTTGTGAAGTTACTACTTTAGATTTATTTTCCCTGAGTGTTTTGCTTACCGTTCGGATCAGAAGTTAATTTGTGTTTGCGTGTGACAGCCGGAAGCTAAACCGGCGCCAAAGGAAACCACACCACCGAAGGAGGAAAAGGAGGAGCAGTCTGTGGTGGAGGATGAGCCAGTGGCCGAGCAGGAACCTCTTCCGGAGGCCGAGAAGCAGGAGGAGGAGCCACTGCCCACCGACAGCGAGGTGCCGAATTTGGAACAGCTGCCGGAGAACGAGTCGCCGGACGAGCAGCCGGAGAAAACCGATGCCCCCAAGGATGTTGGCGAAGGGGAAGTGGCACCTTCCGAAACGGGTTCACCTGGGGCTCCCGAAACTTCCGAACCTTCATCAGCAGAAGCAGCAGAAGCAACAACAACTAGTCCTCCGGGGGAGGTGAGAACCCCGCCCAAAACCGACGAGGAGCTGGCCCTCGAGCGGCAGTTGGCCGACGTGCAGAGACAACTGGCGGCCCTCTCGTCACTGCCCTCCACCATACAGTCCACCCTGGATGCGGTGACCAAGCAGCTGGCCGAACTGCTGCCCACCTTCAAGCTGCAGCAGCAGCAGGAGCAGCAGCAGGATCAACAGCCGGAAGCTCCTCTCCAGCCACAAATCGATGAAAAAACTGGTGAAGGGAAGGAGGAGGAGCAGCTGAATGGGGAAACCAACACCGCAGGCCAAATTGCGGATGCAGGTGCAAAAAACTATGCCCAGGTCGACAGTAATTAAATTTTTCTAATGGCGCACTTTTGCGTATGTCCTTCTCTCTTCTTTTTTTCTACCCGAAAAACCAACTAACGAACCAACGAACGAAACCCCACGGAATGTCCTGCAGGAAGGGACATATCCATATCTGGAGCTGGAGCTGACAACCCACTGGGGCCATGTGAGAATAATGAGGATAGATGCGATGCCAATGACCGGGAAGTGGCGGAAATATCGCGCTCCACTGACGACAATCGCCTGGCCAAGGATAAGGAGAAGGATAAAGAGAAGGAACAGGAGCCGTTGTCCGAGGAGCAGAGCTTCAAGAAGCAGAAGGTAAGTGGAGTGCCAAGACCAAGCAACCAACCAACCAACCAACTGGCCTTGGATGCCATGGCGAAATGAAATCCCTGGCAGGGCAGTTAATGTAATTAGGCTGTCATGAGTTGGGTCTAGCGGGTTCTAATGGCATTAGTCCTTCTCTCCGTCCGTTTCACCACCTGCTCCTCCTTCTCCTCCTCCTCCTCCTCCTCCTCCTCCACTTTCATTTCCAAACTATTTCTACTTGGCCTTGTGCTAAACTATTTAGAGCAACAGGATTAGGCGGCCTGTTTTATGGGAAAATGCTTTCATTGTCCAGACGGAAAAATATTCATGCCACCCATTTTATAGTGGGCTTTTGCTATGCCTAGATAATATGCGAAAGGATTTGGGTTTCATTAAATATTAATACTTGTTGATGGAATTTTCTATTAAAAAAGTTTTTGCAGATTGAAAAGCACACGTTGAGTTGATGAATATTTTACCATAAATTTATGTGTGATAATATTCTATGGAAGTATAAAATTGTATGTGAAAGAAGGGTTTTTAAATTAAAAAAAATATTTTTTATTATCAATTATTGGTTTTGTATGAGTATACATTTTGTTACTTTTCAATTTAAGCAATAGTATCAAAATGAAAAATTCGTTTCTATTTTTCAGAAACTTATTCGATTTATTTTTCTTGCTATTATTACCAATTTGGTTCATTACGGAAATTCTTTTTTCATGTAGGTCTTATTTAAATTAAAGTAAAAACCAACAAAACACAAAACTATTGTTAAATAACAACTTTTAATAGAGTTAAGAAGCGAAATTAAAAAAAGCGTGCTTTCCCATTAGTTAGTTGTCTTCGAGTTAAAATCGAAAAAAATACTCTGCTGTCTGATTTATTTCTATTGAGATGGCAGCTTAAGTTTGTATAAAAAGAGTTTTTCCATTCAGCAAAAAATGAAGGACTTTCTGCGAGGCATCAAACTATTCGGTTGAGTTCCGAAGTCAGTTTTTATCCACCGACTTGCTCGAAGCTATATTATCCAGCCGCGGGCAGCTGGACCTTCTCGAGCTCGAGCTTTGTGGATCCTGAGACCATCCATCCCGAAACCCCCTCAATCCCCATTCACAAACCTCCACTTTCCTGTCTTCGCCTCAACGTCCGTATCCACAAATCAAATTAACTAAAATGCCATTTGGTTTTTGTCTTTTTCTACTTGCAGCATAATGTGCGCTTCCAAACGTAGTTAGTTAGCTTAAATCGAGTTTAAATTTTGATAAATTGCCAACAGCAAGTTATTTGTAGACGGTTTTGTGTGCCCGAAAAAAGATGCTTCTCTAGTTGAATAAAAGCCCTGGCAGAAGCGGCAGGGGAAAAATGCAGAAACCAAAAGACAATTAGTAGGCACCAAGTGGAAAGCCCTTCAACATTGTTTCGTCCCGTTTTTCGCTTTTTCCCATGGCCCTCGAAACAAAAAAAAAAAAAAAAAAATACAAAAAAACAGCAGAAAATGTTTGCTTTCTTTTTTTTTTTTTTTTGGTGTGTGTGTTTTCACCCCGTGGGTGTGCACTTTCCGCCCCCGTCTGTTTGGTTTTGGTTCTTGCTAGAGACACGATGTCATTGAGGAGCTCGAGGAGCATTTGGTGCGCAAAAACAATCCCCGGCGGTCGAAGCGGGCCTTTGGGCCGTTGGTACCGTCCTCGGAGCGTCCTTTGGTCCTTCCCGGCGGGAGGCGTTGGTACCGTCCCAAGGATGCCTACAACGACGAGTTCATTGCCGAGACCCTGAGCGCCCAGGCGGAGCTCATCACGGGCAGCACTCTCGGGTGGGTAGATCACCCATACGCCCCGTATTCCCCCGTATACTTTCCATACTTTCCATATACCATACACATCCCAAACACCATACACCATATACCTAGAGTATCCCCCAGCTTATTGCGGCTAGTTGGCAATGTTTGGCCATGTTTGCCGTGACCAGAAACTGCCATCGCCGCCCATCTCATCTCATGTCAACGCTCTGCCCACATCGCAAACAGTCGCACCGGGAAAAAAATCCACCAGAAAGTATACACCTACCGCTTTTTTAGCTGCTCTCGCTCTCAAAATATTCCATCAAATGGTTATTAGAAAACAAAAGAAAACATCAACTATGTGGTTATGCTAAAACTTAAATTGCACTCCGTAGAGGAAATAGTGAAGTGTCTATTGTTTTAAACTTCTACTGAGTTTTCAAACCCTCAGACTAATAAAAGGAAAATACATTTGAAGGGTGAAAAGTGATTGATTTTTGCATGATGAATGGTTTTTGCCTTTTCAAAACAAATTAGTTTCATAGAACAAAAGAAATTTTGTTGTAGTGACCTAAAAATTGTTCAATGCGATTATTTAGCAAGTTTGTGTATGTTTTTAGTTTTTGCTTGAAAATGTAATATGAAAATATTTATTACAAATAATGAAAAAAAAAAAAAAAGAAAAGAAATGGGGAAAGTAATTGATTTTAAAATGAAGCAAAGGATAAAATGTTCATCTTTCAGATTTGAAACCTTTTTTATTTCGAAAAAAAATAGAATATATTTTTAGAAATTTAATTCCTATTTCTTAGATGTATATAAATTTTGGTGGCATTTTCTCTCAGTGCCCTTGGACACACTTCACTAAAAACCATAACGTTAGCTCGTCCCCGGCATTCATTTTCTTCATTTTCACTTCTTCACTTTTCCATGGCCACTCGCCTCGTCTCCGCTCCGCTCATCTCGTCTCGACCCGCCTCAACTTGCCTTCGACCTCGACTCTTTACATCGTCCATTGCACCATAAATTTGCGCATTAGCAGCTGTCCATACGAGAGCCCGTTGCTGGGCTACGATTCCAGGTAGTGTTTCATTTGGATTGTTGGATTCGCCTGATGAAGTGCCCCGGATGCGTCGGTGGTGGTGGTGCTAGTGGTGGATGCCACAAGGCATCCAAATACGAACACCCCGGCCACCCGGGCACTCTCATTACGATTATATCGTTGGCATTATCGTTAGCATTACGAGACCCACCATTGTACATTGCCATTCTCATCCCGAACTTCAACATTCGCATCTCGCATTTCGCATCATCCGTCTGTGTGTCCTGTCACAAGGCTTGCAGTTGATTTGACTTTCCGTTTTCCTGCGTTCCGGTTGAGTTCTTTATGCATGCCTTTATCCCCTCCTGCCTTCTGCCTTCTGCCTCCTGAATCCTGAGTCCTTCCCCCTGAGTCCAGAGTCCTGCCTCCCGCTCTTTCGGATATCTCGCTTTTGCTCCTTGCCTCTTTTGCCTTTTGATTTTCATTGTAGATTGCATTTTGGAATCGTTTGTTCAATGGCGAGCATATAACACGCCAGCGCTTCAGGTAAGTTTTCAATTTTTTTTTTCCTTTGGTTTCTCTTCTTTTCTTCTAGAAGAACCCAAAGCAACGCGACGCAGTACCAAGTCTTTTCCCCCATTTCCACCATCACTTCTCGACTCCTTAATGAGGCTAACAACTTTTCTTTGCTTTTGCTTTTGCTATGTATGTATGTGTGTGTGTGTGTTCGCTTGTATTTGCCCGCCCTTGTCTTGTACTTAACCACTGGGGGAAAAAACCGGACTGCACTCGAAACTCCACTCTCGATTCGCCAGGGAGCTCCAGGGTCTTGGCCTGACCATGCAAAAGTAAGTTGTCACATTGGACGTTTTCTTATGTTCTCCGGTTCATTGCATGCATATGTACGCTGACTTCCTTCGCGTCGTCCTCCAGTTGTTTCCCCTCCTTTCCTCCTTTTGGGAGCACTCCGTGCATTCCGCTTTTTACCCGGATGCATTCGCAATACCAATTTAACGGCGGACTCTTCTGATGGCAGGGTCAACTTCATGAAGTACCAGAAGCCGGAGCGCAAAATCGATCTGAATCGCAGCGAGGTGTACAAGTATCTCAATCCGCATCTGGACCGAGCACCCGTCCGTGGCATCGAGGTGCGTGCCCCACTGGTGGCCGCCGAGTCCGACATTCGCCAATCGCTGCAATCGTAGGAGTGATGTGCCACTTCAGAGAACCACCCAGTCCCACAACTACACGGAAAAAAATCAATTCAATCAACATTTTCTGTGGAAGCAGACCGCCAGGGGATTTGGCAAAACTATTGCTTAGAATAAATACAAATTGTTAACTCACAGAATAAAAAAAACATTATGAGAAGTATGTAAAAAAATAATATAAATAAATTAATTTTATTTATTCACTCACGGAGTTAGTTTTTTAAACTTTAAAAGCCATTAGAATTGTAAATTAATTCTTATCCCACAAGACAAATATTACAATGAGAAGTATGTGATCAAATTGTTTTTAATTGTTATTAATCATTAATTAGGTTGCTTCTTTAAAATCCTTCAAATCCTATTTATAAAGTCCCTTCTGTTTTAAAAATAACAAACGACAAATCTCCAATTGGTAACTCAGCTGATTTTTCTAAATTTAATTGAATTATTTTCTTTTTAAAATTAAAGATATCAGTACCTCGTAATATAGATTAAAGGATGTTAGAAAATATTTATGAATATTGTTGAAATCAACTTTAATGTACACTCAAAGTGTACCTTTGTTGACCAACAAATTTCTGTACTATTTACTCAAATCGACATTTTCTGTCGATGAATTAATAGCCAATCAATCATCACCTAAGAAAAGCTATAAATAATAAATCAAATAAAAGCCAGGTGCTCGTAAACTAAAAACAATAATTGCACTTCCCGAAGGAAGCTATAAATATTACAAAATAAAGCTATAAATATAACTAAATATTACGAATAAATATTGCTTCCAACAAATAGACTTTTATCTAAAATCTAACCAGTTTCGAACTCTCAGTATGCTTATTGATGTACTCGCATTCTTGAATAGACAAACACATTGCTGCTAAAATATGTGTAAAACCATATATTAGGACAGCTTCAGCTTCAGCTGGAGAGGTTCAAGCCCTGATTGAACTGCTGAGATTTGAATATTGCAGTTTGGCTCTCCAATTTGCGTGCCCAGTGAGCTTCTGCGATAGAGAATATTTAAATTTATCCACAAATTGGCTTCCCCCAGTGCATTCGATTATCGCTTAAGGAGCTCAACGAATATAACCATCAATATGCGAACAGAAGCCGAGTTCGCAGCCATTGTCGTCGAGCGGGGTCGCCTAATGTGATATTACATAATTTGTGTGCAACAAGGCGTATGTGTAATGTGTCGTGCATTTCTGTGGCATATCCTCAGGCGCTAGCTGTTGCAATTTTCTTTTGCACAACACACAAACGAGTAGCGCTCCCTTTGTGTGTGTGTAAGCTTGTGTGATTTGTTTTTGTTGTTGTCTGCTTTGCGGGTGACAAGCTCTTCGAATTTGCATTTATTATGGCAAATGAATTGGGTGGCGAGAAAACAAAAAAAAAAAAAAAAAAAAAAAAAGAAAGAAAGTGGCAAATGACATGGCAAAATGGCAAACTGGCAGCAGCAGCAACACCAATACCACCACAGTTAAAGCCGTATTTAGTTACGGCACAAACATTCGCGTCACATCAAAATCAAAATTGTTGTCACGTTATGATGGAAACCGGGACGAGCGGATGCGAAAAGCGCACATTTCACTTGCCCCCCACACACACCAACACACACTCACACACACGGCTCAAACCGCCGGAATGATGAGACGCTTTTCCTTTTGGCCGGGGCAATAAAAACGCGCCAACTTAATGCGGATACACGGAGGACCACGAAGCGATTCGTCAAAGGCGCGAATTTTTTTGTGGTGAAATATGAGGAGCAGCCAATAAATTCCGGACTCGTAATCCGAGCAAGTGCGATGCTCATGGACGCTCGTCTTGGACTGGCCCAAAACGACTTGGCCTTATCACTTGCACTGCTCACAGGCTGCGCTTCGAGTCGAGTTTGCGAACATTTTAGGACAGCTTTTGAGTGCCAGCAGCTTTTGAGTATTTTTTGCCGAGAGGTTTTTCCCCCTCTAAGCTTTGAGTGGAAAATTCGTCCTTTGAGCCATCGGCCATCTGCTGGGGGCTAAATCGGGAAAAACTCCGGGTTGGGGCAGGCCAGAACCTTTCAGGTCGCAAAAGGTGAAAATGCCGGAATGTCGGGAATAAAATTAAGATTTGTTCAACTTGTTGGCTAAAAGTTTGACTCGGCTAATTTGTATGCTTAATTGCCAAGCGCCGCTTACACTAAGCTACGTGAAACGCTTTGAAGTCGCTAACTCGATTGGAATGGTTTAAAAGGGTTTAGTTTGCCTTATAATTGGCTGACCTTATTATTTCTGCTGGCTTAAAATTAGACGGAAAATTGTATTTGCATATCTATTTAAAGAAACCCCGGAAAAAATGGAATAATAAATTATAAAAATCATTTTCCTAGGAAATTAAAATTGAAATTTCCGTTTTGGGATATTTCTTAAAATCAGTGAAGTAAAACAAGAATAACCTCTTAATTTAACTAACCATTAATCCTTTAGAATTTCTTGATGAATAGATAAATGCATTTGATAAAATAGTTTTTAAAGAATTTTCCAATCATTTTTAAAATAACTTTTGACGCCAAAATAAAATTCTTAGATTTCGACATCAAAGTAATATTCTTCTGAAACTTTTTTTAATAGCCAATATATATTATAAGATTTATTTAAGTACAAACCAGATAAAGAATATAGAAATGACCACCAGTTTACAACAATTGTTCAGATTTTTAAATTTTATTTGAATTTGAATAAACAATACTAGACAACAACTACTTAGAAGTAAGTACAAGTTCATACATACAAGTTACATAAAAATAGTTCGGGTTAGGCTCTCAGCTCATTTCCGCTTCGAACGAATTATCTTTGAAACGTACTATATATTGTATGTGTGTGTGGGTGTGTGTATGTATAACAAAGTCATGTATAAGTACAATGGGCTAACTTGTGTTTTTTGCTTTTGTGAATTTCAATAACCTGACTACAAATACAAAGAAGGCAAAATTACAGCGGCCACTTCAATCCAAGGAGCATTGACTTTAAAAGACAGCTCCGATTGAAGTGCGTTAAACGATTTTGTTATAAACAATTTTCGTTTAATCTTAAAGGGAGAGTTCTAGGTTTTTGTTTAGTTTTTTTTTGTGTGTGTTTGACACTAATTATCACTACGCCAGTTGAAGTTAAATAGTTTACGGTTTCCTCAAGTTTTCCACGCTGGGATTGCTTCGATTTGATAGGTCTTAGCCAAGTTTATAATATTTTTTTGTGTATATGCAAATGCAATTATTGCTAATAATACATGCGAAAGTCCAACGGAATAAATAATTTGTTTGATTCGTTGGTTTCTTTGTGTGTGATGCAAATTGGTTTCCCTCTTCCTCCTTTCCGTGGGAAGGATATACATATTTGTCTTATCTCGACAAGTCCGAGGTAACGTTTTCAAATTTGATAAACCATCAACTGATTCGGTTGGCCTCAAAAATATGCTTTGTTCTCTGCTCCAAGACACCCCGGCTAATAATCTAATTTGTCTCTTGATTTCAGTTGCAATTTAGGTACACGATTTCCGCTTCCTCTTCCTCTTCTTCTTCTTCTTCTTCTTCTTCAGACCCTGCATATACTATACAAATATGTATATGTATAACTATATCGGTGTATTATATATGCGACGGGCTATTCAGGTGAGTGTTTGTCTGTGGCTTGTCTTTAAATACTAATTGCAGGTAGTTCGTTAACACTTTCACACCAGAATTTCGCAACAAATATATAGTATTTGTATTTGTATTGTTTTAGTTTTGCCTTTCTTTGCTTTAGCTATTGTGATTTTGTTTTGTTTTTTTTTTTTGTGGGCCATCGTAAAACGTGGCTTGACTCTAATACTTTCAATCTAAAACTAATTAAGTTGCAGCTAAGCCAATTCTAGGCTGGTAAATTGGTTTGTTCATAGAAATCGGGCTCATCGTCGTCGTTCTTCTTCATTTCGCTGCCATCCAACTAGAAATATTTTAAACATAAGTTATAATTTTACTGAATTATGTATTTAATATTATATTACCGCTTGCATTTCCTCTGGATTGTAAAGTTTGCTCAAATTCTGTCGAATTGGCACCATCATGATCAGGAAAAAGGGGAAGGCCAGCGAAAACTGGGATGACTTTACGGTCCAAAGAAGTACGAGACAAAGCACTTGGATGGTGGTAAACAGATGCAGTTTCCAAGGACGCAGACGTTTTACGTAAGGCGTGGGAGGATAATGCTTCACCGGCATGAAATACAGTCTTATTCTGTAAAATAAAAGAAGGTTTAAATAAACTGTTTACTATATAATTAAGACGAATAACCAACCGCTCGAACAGCTGCACTCCGCTCATGGAGGCCACTCCCATGTACAAAAACACTCCAAAGAGCACGGCCATGGGAATCAAGCGCAGGAGTGGAGCCATCAGCACCGAAAGACCAATCATGAGGCACACAAAAAATCCAGACAGCCTCTGCTCCTTGACATCAACGATCCTGGGCGACTCACCAGGGGCATGTGTGCTGTATAGAAAGGGATATAACTCATATATTTACTTCCTTTAAGGCTGTATATATATTTAATCCTACCGTGACATAATGGTAACGGAGGACACATGCGTCACAGATCTCACAGTGGCAGCGCAATGCCAGGGCATTCCAAACAATCCGCAGGCGCAGTTGAGCAGGCACAGCAAAACAATATCCCAATGGAGACCGGAACCCTTCTTCAGACCACGATCTGGCTTATCCACAATCAACTCGGAGATCTGCGACTCCATGAAGATGAGGATATAAACGAGCAGGGCGGGCACCACACAGGCAAATGGAATCCAAGTGGAGGAGGTATCGAAGCCAATGTACCAACCACGTTTCAAGGGATCACTGGGCGACAGACCCTCGGGAACCACCAGTTTCTCCGTATAAACAGCCGGCACCAGGTAATCCACCAGCACAAAAATGGCAATCGAGATGGGCACACCGAAATCTCCGAGGGCACGACGAGCATTGCGACCCAGGAAATGGGAATTGCGGAAGAGCTTCAGGTAGTAGGCGACCACAAAGGTGGCCAGTGTGAGAATGGTGCAGAATAGAGCGGTGTTTGGTTGATTCTTGGGCAGCGGAGGTGGACCCATTGGCATGGCCGTCGTGGAGATATTCAAAACCATTTCGGTGATATTCGCTGGCGAAACTGTGGTTGCATTAAAGAGACTTTCATTGGCGGCATGATCGTGAGCAACCAACGTGGGAGGTGGCAGATTGTAATCCGACAGAAGTGGATTCTGCTTGTAGATCGAAATCAGTTTCATAAACGTTTCCACAATATAAATGAGTGTGATGAGGGCCGAGAATATCTCCTGTGTGAATCTCGTTAGCAGACGCACATAAACACTTCCCTCGAATGCAGAAACAGTCAGCGCAATAATTATCAACCAAACTCCAACGTAAACCCGTAAAGCCAGAAAATTAAATCCATTTTGTGTGCAGAAAACCATGAGAGCTTCGTCGAAGAGCAGCAGGGGTCCAGTGGTGCCGATGATCACCAGCGGTTGGCAGGAGAGGCAATGGAAGACGATGCCCACCAGGGAGCAAGAGATCAGCGTCTCGGAAATACCAATCCAACTGTCCGTCTTGGCGGAAACGAGACCTCCGAACGTGATGGCGGTCGAGAGGCAAGCGAAGTACATGAAGATGGTGGCCGCCAGAGTTTCCGAGTTCAGACCATCCAGAATATCGCTTTTGTACATGGGCATTCGCCGTTTCAGATCGTTCCTCAATCCACCCCACAAGCGACCTGTTTTCTCCAGCGGACCGGGCTTCTTCTTTTTCCCGCCATCCTCATCATCGGAGCCACCATCTCCTCCACCATCACCGCCGCCGATCGTGAATCCAATGGCTCCGTGGGTTTGCTTCTCCAGCAACGCCTTCTCCTCGTCCTTGCCAATTTTGATCATCTCGCTGTCGCGTTTCACCTGCAACGCCTTGATCTTCCGCGTGCGGATCCAATCCCTTTTGGCCTTCAACTCCTCGAAGGGCAGGAGATCGTGGCGATCCCAGTTGCCGGGCGGCAGAACGATCGAATCATCCAGGAACTCATTAATGGCCGACAGCAGATCCTTGCGATCGTCGGCCTTGTAGGCAATGGCATGGAAGTGCTCGTTGGCCATCAGCGTGGAGATGGAACGACCCACTTCGTGGTAGTCCAAGTCAAAGTTACGGGGTCCCAGGAGCACAAACATGAACCGCACCGGGACAGGAACCTCCGTCAAGGTGGGCATCAGCACACCCTCCGACAGACGGACAAAGGCAATCGTTGGCTGCTCCAGGAACTCTACGGCACCAACCTTTAGGAAAACGAAAAATTATTCATAAATAAGGAATAAGGAATTATTTATTTTCAACTATCAGTAATCAGATCCCAGCTCTTCTAAGCCCATTTTTCTTCTAGTTTTCATCCATTTTAAAAGTGGGATACCTCTCTAAATATTTTATTAAAATATCTATCTAGCTAATTTTTGATTTTTTTGGTCGATGTTTCGTCACTTTTTGTGACCTCCTTCCTTTTAAAATTTACGAAAAATTGGTTTGGTGAATATGGACCAAAATTCACTTAATCTATTTCCATAATTTTCATATTTTAATAAGTTTTTGAAAGTTCTAAAAGTTTGTAATTTAATTCTCTAACATACTGCATAATTAGCAGTTTTTATTTTAACTATGAACAACTTACCAGAACAGTGGTGGCCTCAGCACCCGCAGGAATCCTCTTAAGGATCGTGTCATTCTGCAGCTTCTTGAGATCCTCCTGCGACGAGGAGTACATATCGTCCTTCATGTCGATCTTTAGCTCGTTGCTACGCTTGCTGCCTCCGATTTCGCTGGCCGGCATTATCTTGATCTTCTTGTCATCTGTGCCGCCCGACAAATTCTGCAGAGCATTTGATACAAATTCAGTAAATGGTAACTTAAAGGATGGCATTGTTTTGTGGGGAACATTAAGCAAGCTTCACATGCAAAGCTAGTGCCAAAACACTGAACACAAGAGTACAATAAAATCGTGCAACTGAACGAAATCGTAATATATTGTTTAGAGCAATAACAGAGTGCGGTCTTTGGCAGCAGTTGAATCTAGAGTTGCGAGTGGAAGGGATCTAAGGCATAATACTTGAACAACACAGTCACAATCACAATTGAGAACTTGCCAATCGTGGAGGTGGAGAGCACACATAAAAACAGTGGTTCTAAGGGGGGGAGAAGGGCTACGGAACTGGGCTAACGTGGTGGGGCTAAAAAGAAACATCGCGAGTTCTATAAGCGCATTTCGGCTGCTTCTGGCTTCCTTTGGGTCAGGGAATGAAATCAGTGCAAAACACTGATTTAAAGTTAAGAAAATTTTGAAAGCTCTTTTAAGTTGTGAAAACCTTTTTTAAGCAAAGTAAATATAAAAACGTTTTTTATAAACAATACTACACCATTAGAAATTTTAGGGTATAGAATTTGTAAATTTATAAATAATTCTCTATTTTCTGTTACCTGTAATCAAAGTCTAAAATTGTACACTTTAAAATGCAAATTTTATATATTTTCAAAATAATCTAAAAACGTGTAGGAAGTTTTCAATCATTCTAGTTAATTTTTCAATTCTTAATATGACTCCAAATATCATTAATAAATAAAATAAAAATTCCAACAGCGGGTAGCATTAAATTGTTTTTTATAATTTCTGTTCTGCCATGAATAACAAAAGATTTTTATGGTGTTCTATTAAGATATCAAATTAGCATGAATTTCTACTGCTATCCTCATCAAATATTTTTTTTAATTTTGTAAATGAGATTCATTCATCTGAATTCATTCCCTGACTGGAGAAGCGGAGGACGAGAAGGGGGATTTTCTTAGGGGTTTCTAGTTCATTACACCCAGGTAGGACATCGTGGAGTGGCGTCGATGGTCGATCGCTGCCGCTGCAGCGGAGGCAGTGGCCACATTCAGCATCGCCGCGGTGGGCGGGGCACTCGAGGTGACGCAGATGCTCCTCCTGGCCTTGGCCAAGTTGCGAGGTGGCTGCTGTGCCGGCTGCTGCTGCTGGAACTGCTGGTGAGCGGAAGACTCCGCTCCCATCCAAAGAAACTTTTGTGTTCGGAGTGCAAGAAAGTATTGTGTATTTTGGTTTTGTGGCGATAAAAAAAATTAAGTAAACGCACAAGAAAGAAAGAAATTGAAGAGATACACGAACGTTTGGACAAAGCGGCGCTTTTATAAGATACATCTGTACGATCATGGATATATACAATTTAGCTGTTCATTACCGATTTGGGTATAAGTTGCTGTTGTTGTTGATGTTGTAGTTATTATTATTGTTGTTGATGTTGGTGTGCGAGTTGTGAGTCATGAGATGGCAGAAATAGACAAGAGAATAATGACCACGATCATGGGGATTAACAAACTTTTCGCACAATTTTCACTGAAAGCCAATTATTTATAGCGAACAGGCACGATGTCAATAGGTAAATGGTTGGATGATAACACGTTATTGGAATGACAAGTAGAGGAAGGCACAGGAGTGTTAGCGGACCAATTGAATGAGGTTGATGATGAGGAAGTAAACTCACCTGCAGGCTGGTGTAGCTGTTGTACTTCCTCTTGGTGAAGGGCAGCACTCCCTGGTGTTCGTTGACATGGCGATGCCGCAGGAGCAGCGACCGCATCACCGAGGGCTTGTCGTTGATGTCGATCAGGTCCTCGATCACCATCTAAAAAGGGGGATTTATTATTAAAGATTAGTTTACTTTAAGAAAGGATTTATAAGATTTAAACAGGCATGCAAATAGTTATTTTTTTAAGATTTACCTATAAACATTATTACAACCATCCATTTTAAAATTAGTGAAATTATAAAATGATTGGGTTACTATTTTAAAAATATTCTCTACAAAGTTTATTATGTTACATAAAGGCATATATGATTAAAAATTAAGATAAATTGTTCCAAGAAAGATTTGTTATATCTGAATATATTTTTTAATCAGAAAGATTTGTTAAATAATTTTTTAAACAAAACTCACCTGCTCTACCACACGATAGGCCACGGCGGGCAGGTCCTTCTCGTTGAGATCGAGCAGGACAACGCCCGTTTCCAGGCAGCGACGCAAATTGAGCAGCGAGTGGAAGGAGAGGGAGGCAACATGGGGCTTGCCCCAGCGATCGGAGCCCTCCTCCACATCCTCCTCGTATTTGATCCAGCGGGCGGTCTCCTTCCATTCGCGATCCTCGCCCACGCCAGTGAGCTCGTCCAGTTGTACAAAGATCTGATTGAAAAGTAATTAAAAATATATTTTAAAAATTTAAAATAATGTTTTTAATCAAATACACACCTCATGAGGACTATGATCCACCTCGGGCTTCTTGTTGGTGAAGGGGGAAATCGTAATTTGGGGCAGTTCGCGCAACTTGATGGATGAGTGATGAATCTTGTGGCGCCGCAAGGCACGCGGGTCGTCCGAACGATGTGATCTCAGCTCATTGAGATCAGCCTCCTATAATGGTTTAAAAAACAAGAGATTAAATCTAGAACTTAGTTTCATATAAAGGATCTATTTTTGGGGCTAAGGGCACGGCCAAGGATAATATGGTCAACCTGTTTAGCCGGCATTTGGCCATTTGTCTACAGGTGAGTCCGTTTATTTTGTGGGTTAGCAATGAGAGTTGGAGAGACACAATAGCTGGTTTAGTTAGATGATTTAAGCTATGTTTAGTTGGGAAAGGGTTTTCGAGGAGGAAGTACTTATACGACTGGGAATTTCAAGGAACCCTACCTCCAATGCCGTGTCCTCAGGCTGCACAGAGATGCGACGCGCACCTGCATCACCGTTTTCCTCGAGCTTGATTTTGGGTTCCACGCTGTCCTGATGTGAGAATTTACGTTGTCTATAATACTGATGGCGGCTGCAAATGAGATTTTGTTTAAGAATATTATTTCACAGCATTGATTTATATATAAATTCTGCCAGTAATATTTTTTTTTACTTTTATGAAGAATTTTAGTACGCGAAACCTTTTTGTTAACGGTTAAAAAAATACTAATGATGATTTCATGTTAATCTGTTTCTTAAAGCTCAAATTCAAGTTCAAATTTTATTTTTATTAAGAAAACACAGATTTTGTTTCTCTCTACGGAGTTTACAACTCAGCTAACTTAGACAAAAGCTGAGCTCTTTGTCCTTGAAAACAAGACCCAAAGGACAAAACATTCCGGAATGAGAGAACAAGAAACCTGTGTTTTTCCTAATTTAACAAGGGACACAAAACCCCAAAGCTTGTGTCAGCTAGAAAACATGAAAATGAAATGAATTTAAGGTTAATAAATTAAATTTATTATTTATAAACTGAGCAAAGTTAAATTAAAAAAAAATTTCAAGTAATTTGTTACGTATACGTAATGTCTGTTGGTATAAGTAATTTAAAAACATCACGCATACGCTACGTTGTCTGTGAGTTCATCCATTTAAATATATTTGAGTGTAAATTATTTTTTTAAATAAATTATATTTGTACCTTCTTCTGCGTTTACGTTCGTGCGATTGGTCCGTGGGTTGTTCATCATAACTCAAACTGGGCGGGGTGACGACAATCTTCTTCTTGCCGCCGAACTGGACGTGCTTCTCGTCCAGCGAGTTATCCGAGTGATCGCCGTGTCCGGCTCTCTCGGATACTAACGGAAAGTCCTCGGGGATGTCATCGTAGTTTTGTGCATTGTTCAAAGGTTCCGTTTGGCTCTCGTACTCCGAATCCTCCTCTATATTCAGATCGTTTGTGCGGACTAACCCAAAATAAAATATATATTAGAGAAAATATATAATTAAAACCCATAATATAACTTACTGCTATTCTTTTTGCGGGATCCAATGGGCTGCTGGGAGTTGTCCTGGAAGGTGTTTACATCGAACTTGTCTTTGCGCGAACTATTGCTGGCAAAGACCTTGTCCATTTCCGAGTCCAGCAGCACCTCATCGGGATCCTCATTGCCGGACTGCAAAAGCAATAAAAAAAAAAAGAAAGACAAATACTGTCGTTAGTCAATTGTTTTCATGCGTTTGGTCACGTTGTGCATGAGTCAAGTCGTCGCAAATACTTTTCAATTAAGAATCTATGGGGAAAACAAAGTCAGACAAGTCATGTGACTCGCAGCATTTTTGTTCGTCGTCACGAGTCTTTCGACAGAATGTTGACGATTCTGTGAAAAACACTTAGAGGGGCGAGAAGAATTGGGTAACAATTCGCCTCTGTCCAAACATTAATCATTTACCAACAAGTGCAAACGTACGCATTGGGAACCTCAAAAAAAAAAAAAAAAAAAAATAAGAAAACAAACACTACATTCCACCATTTGGAACTGGATTCACTGGGCGTCGTTCGTAATTGCTTTTAATCGATCTCAATTGATTTCCATAGTGACGAAGGCATTGATTGCGCACTTCTCTCAATCATCATTATTAACATCAATATCAACATCGTCTGGCATAAAAATATCGTATTTATGAACATTAAATTCTTTGCCTCGAGGCGAGAAACAAGTAAACCCAATTATTCCCAATTGTTATGTGGCTATCAGATTACAAATATAGGAAAAATCTGAAATTGTTTATTGAAAATCACTGGGAAGGTTGCCGAGAATTCAATTTTCCCCTTTCGCTTAATTGAGTCTTTGATTACAAGAAAAACATATTAAATGATTTTGTATGCAATCTAAACTATAACAAAATGGCAAAACAATATTCTCATACATTTATTAAAATTTTAATAGGTATATAAAGGGTTTAAAAATCATCAGTTTTAAATACAACTTTATAAAGATTATTACAAGCAAAGGGAATCCCCTATATTTATTTGACTTAAAAATTTAAAACCCATGGCGTTAATATGCAGGTGTTCAAAATAAATGTTACAGTGGCAAGTAGATAATTTCCAGTTTATTTACTCTAACATCGGTGATAATAAACACCTCAAATTTGTACTCACATTGCACACATTCAGCCAAGTTAGTCAACATATTTTGCCAGGTATTCCTAGCTTTTACGACGCGTCTTTTAAGGGCTTTGCGGACACGAGTGCTTTCCCCAGTTTTGTTTACCAAGTCAACATATAAATTATCGTATGCTCTGATGTAAGGTACATAAATGCAAATGAAATTAGGTAAGTGCGATTTTCCCGCGGCAAAACACCCGAAGGACTACCGAGCGATTCCCGGTCAGGTCTGCGCACCTGATGAATATTTTATGCCAACTTTAATACACCGGGCGAGCGTATCCTTGACAATTACATTCACTTCCTGATAAGCCCGCGGGGCAGATAAGGGCGGAAACAAAGGCAAACACTGTTTCTGTTTGAGTTTATAAATAGAAAAAATTTAATAACGCTGAGAGCCTGCACGTGGGAACGTCAATGTGTCCACCAACAACAGACAGCAAAAACAAAAAAAAAAATAGAACAGAACAGAAAAAAAAAAAGGAAGACCAACGACCAAGTGTCTGTTTGTGACCCCGGTGGTTGGGTTTCTGTGGGTGGTTTCTGTGGGTGGTGGTTTTCCAGTGGGTGGCGTTTTGCATGTGATAAGCTAGAGCGTAACGCGCCATGTTACGTTAATTAATCGATAAACACTAAGTTGCCCCATAATGACTTTGATACTAATGCCGCTTTTGGTGCTTCATTATGAAGTTGATGGCATTGCCGATTTCGAGATACAAACGGGCAGGCAGTAAAAGTATTTTGTCATTTAGCCATTAGCCTGATGCCCATCATAATGTGGCTACAAGCCAACCGGTCTACATAAGCCCCCAAAACCACCCACTCAAACTCAACCCAAGCCAACCCAACCCAACCACCCACTCTTCAGGTAACGAACGCTCCAACTGAACGTCACACTTTGTGCAGCATGTCAGCGGCGCTTATCAGAATAATCGATGGTATGTTTTGGCCCCAACCCTCCACCGACCTGCCACGCCCACTGCCCCGCCCACTAGACGTCTAAGCTGTCAATTTTCGTTGTTATTTGTTTAGCGTTCGTACTGGAGCCCAATGAGTATGCACGGGTCATACTCCTATCCTAAACCAAGTACACTTGGTAGCTGGCAAAAGATATTTAAGCTAAATGAGATCATCTAATAAGAAAATTTTGGTTAAAGATAAAAATATTCCTTAATTAAAATTTAAGTTGTAAATGTAGTTAACCATAGAAGTAAACAAAAATGTAGAAAAATTGCAGAAAACTAGGAAGAATAATATTTTATTTAAAATAAATTTTTAAAATCGAATAAATGTTTTTCATTTGGTTTTTCTTCTTTAAATGTTTCTTCTATATTCTTGACTTTTTGGTTTTTAAATAAAGAATTTAATTTAAAATCATGATTATGGTTATTGTAAGTAACAAAAGTGTAGCTCTAAATATGTTTGCATATTCACAACGATTCTGTAATATGACATTTCTAAACGATTTGGGTTCGTCAGTGCATATAAAATAAAACTTAGAAGCGGAATAAACATTTCCGATTGAAAGCTTCCTGCCATTTTCTTCCGTCTTTTGCAGCGTTTTCCTTTCAATTTGCATAACATATTTTTGGTTGCACAGGCACGTGTATGTGTGTGTGTTTGTGTGTGTGTAAGTTCTGTGCTGACATTTGCATTTTATACTCTTCTTTTCGCCTCGAAAAAACCCCCTCAGAACTCGGCGCACCTATTGGAGTGACAAGCGTTGTGTGCAGTCACTGTCAAAGTCAAGCCATAAGTTCGCCCATAAAGCCGGGCGTGCATGTAAGCATCTAGCAAGTTGGCTCCAAGTTTTGGCCAACAATAAGTCGGGCCGAGTTCGCGGAGCGTTTCTGATGTGATTTGACATCTGCGAGGCGGCAAGCGAGCGGCTGCGGCACGTGACTTACTATACAAGTCATAAGCAAGTTAAGAGCTCGTGGCCTAAACAACTTTTTGTCCAACTTGCCAAATTGAATCAAATTGCGGCTAAAGCGAAACTTGTTAAGATTTTGCCAGTTGCCAACTGTTGTTGTCATCGCCAGCGAATAAGTTTTTACACTTACGCCCGCACAGAAGATTAAAAGTTCGTCCGCCGGGACGTATCGCATATAAGTTGGTATTTATCGGAAAACTGTTTGAGTTGGCCAAAAGAAAAAATAGAGGTGAAAGCTGAAGATTGCTAAAGTTCATGAGACGCTTAAAAACAAGTTTCAAATGTGGTTGCTGCTACTTAAGAGTTTAACCTCTTAAGGAAAATAACTTATAATCCAGAAATATTCAAAGAAACATTTTGGAAGTAATTTTAGCTATACATAAAAATTAATTTCGTCCCATAATTGTAATTCCTTTGTAAAAATAACTTAATCAAATTTATAAAAATTCTAGGAAAATATCCTCATGATTTTTTTTAGAAAATAAGTGTCCCCTTGTCTCACGAATTTTCCACAATTGTTTTAGGGATCAACGAACATCTGGCCATAACTAACAAGACCGTAAAAAGTGTGCAAAGCTGCCGAGTGGACTTAAGCGAAAACAGTAACCGTTTAACTTTACATTTAACTTCTGACTTTGAGTTGGATATATATTTACGTGTGTATACACAAAACTTTTTATTTGTTTGCAGCTGTCGAATTTTTTTCCAGGGTCTGTGCATAATTTGGTGGACTTTTATTGTACCGCTTACGCTACGCAGTTGGGTTATTATTTTTTTTTTTTTTTATACTTTGTTTTTGTTTGTTTGCACAAATTAACGATGCTTCTATAACGCTTTTGTCCGACTGTCATTGGTGTGTATGTAAGTGTGTGTGTCTGTGTGTATCTGTGTTAATTTAATGTGAATTCCGCAGCGGAAATGCTCGCACAAGCACAAGACTGACGGCGGAAAAGCGGAAAAAGTGGAAAAGTGGGTACAGGACATCAAGGGGTCAGGGGGTCAGAGGCAGACACGTGCGAAAGGTTAAACTGGTCATTGGGCGGAGGCCCAGGCGTTAAAGCGTCGTATACGTAATCTAGTGATGGGAAATCATGCTGACAATGCTGCTCACCCTCTCTCTAATCGGCGTCTATATCCACACACTATAGCTTTGCACAATGGAAAAGTGTTGCATACTTCAAGGTCAGCCGATGCCATTGTGTGGCTGTGTGCGTATGTGCGAGGGTGTATGTGTATGTGTGTGTGTGTGGGCGTGGGAGTGTGGGTTCAATGGCGTTTAGCAATAAATTGTTGAGGCCTTCTCTATTTATTATCCTGCGGCCGGAACTGAATAGAAAATATTCCGGGTAATGTGAGGAATTTTATGGGAATTTTACTTGGAATGGTTTCCCCTTTTAAAGTGAAAACTTAACTAGCCGTTTAAAAGGGATTCTGGGTAATGTGAAAGTGCTTTATAGCAATCACGCTTTTAACTTTTAACTGTCTTTTTATGAAGTGCAAACTATAAAAGCAAACAGGTGGCAAATATGTGAAAAGTGTTCTGGGAATCGTAAAGTTATACTGTGTTGATGAATGTTAAATTCTTGGAACTTAGTAAATATATAAATAAACAATAAACAATTTTAACAAGGCTTCCCTATGGGGTAAAATCTACAACTCTAAGCGGCTTACATAAGCAGAACTTGTACAAAACTTAAATCAGACCCCACTCAACTTTGCCACCTTGAAAGAAAACTTAGGAAAAGTGAAAACCCCTGTTTTCCCCACTTAGGTGTGTGTGCGTATAAATAATGCAGAAGCTGTTAAATAATTCTGAACGTTTTTATAATGCAGACAAATTGGAAACACGAAACCGCAAAATCCCATTTGAACAGCCAATCATTCATCAATCCGGCAAACCGAAATGAAACTCGGTTATTATTGTAAATTTTTTAAGATGCCGCACACAAAAGACGAAAAGACACCTTGAAATGTATATATATATACTCGTACATTTAAGACCGCAGACACACGTGTGTTCATTGAGGTTCAATTTTGTCGCTTGGGGTAACATTTCGGTAACATTTCTGTGTTTTTCACTGTCACTGAGCCGTTTTATTGCCCCAAAATGTATGCAACACCCAAGAAGAATTTCTCTTTGGTATATACTATATATATATATATATATATATACATATGTATAGCTGGGTGCCTTTGGCACACAAAAGGCCAACTCACTTGTTGTGCCCAGCTGCCAACTTTTCGACTATAATTTTGTATGAAAAAAAAGGGACAAAATTTGAATGTGCAAAAGGCTTTTCCCATTTTCTCGCCGTGTGTGTGTCTGTGTGCGTGGGCTCTTTTGAAACAATTTTCAAGGTTGTGTGCTCTTGAAAAGTTTGTATGTTGGGCAACTTTCCGTGCGATTTTGATTAACGCTATAGATCAAACAAGTTAAACTAGTTTTACGCTTTACCTTGAGGGCTCCCAGTTGTTATTTTGTGCAAATTTCCTGCTGTGAAAAACTTTCAAACACTCTGGTCGTTGTTTGGTAATAGATATTTTCCTTTTTGGCAAAACCTTTTTGCCTGTTGCACTTTGACCCGCGAATTACGATAATTTATTTTCGGGGAAACTGGAGCCTGTTCCGTTGACTGGGAAGGCTGCCCAGCAAATGAGGGGCCATGGCTTTTGGCTGCTGCTGCTTTTGCCATAGCTGCTGCCTGTTACCTGACTTTGTTGGCCAGTGCGCAGGCGTGGTCGAAAGCGCGCGTATAACGGTAGAACAGGCCGCTCAGCTGGCAGCGCTGCAGCGTTTGGGGCACGCTCAGCTGATTTTCAGGGCCACCGGCGGAGGCGGCGGCGTCAGGGGGCGGGCTTTACTATGCCACAAAACAGACACCACCACCCCCCAGGATCCCCAGCTGCTGACGTAAATCGGAATGCAGTTTGCGCTAAGAAAGCTTTTTGGAGCCAAAAGCTTCCTTTGCTCAGCATTTTTGTGTTTTTTTTTGTTCGTGTTGTTGTGTTCAGTCCTCCCAACAACCAGTGCATAATTAATGGCAAAGCTTTCACGCTCACAGGACCTCCTGATGGTCAAGGCCGCTCAAGGCCAACACTTAGTGTTTTGTATGGCCAACGATTATGGCCAAGAGAGAGGAGGTGACGAGACGAAAGGCAGTGTGCAAAAAAGCTCCTTTTTGGCATGCACAAAAATCTATTCACTTGATGGCACTTTTGAACAGCCAGCCAGCCAGCCAGCAGTACATTAAGGCTCATTAGCTGGCCAACCATGTATGTATGTATGTGTGGATTTTGGGTAATTAGCGATAACACTCGAGTTGTAATGGCTAATTGAGTTATGTGACAGTACAGGGCAGATCTGGATGATGGAACACCGCCTTAGGGAACCTGAATTATGTAAGGGTATTAACATTAAATGAGCTCGATGGATGTTAGGTCCAGTAATTGATTGATTGTAGCCGTATGTAATAAATATTTAACAACTGTCTTGTTGGCTATAAGAGCTGGAGGTATATCCTTTGGTAGTACAACGAACTTTACTGCTGTCGGAAAATTAGCCGAGCCATAAAACAATCTTACAAATAATGATAAGCCAATAAAGTGAGCTAGCAAACAAATTGAATAGTTGTTTGACAATTTATTATCTGCAATTTTTATAGGATAAAGGAGTAAAATTATTATTCATTCAATCATATACAGAATAAAAAATCAATCTTAATATTTTATTTATTTGCTTCAATGTTTAATGAACGTTCTGCTGTATTTTTATTTTTTAGTTTTGCAAACGAATTTCTGATTTTATTTATACCTATCGTATTTATTCCTAGCTTATACAATACAAACCATTATAAATTTTATATACAAGTACATCCTACATCGTTCTTTTTTTAACTTTCCACCTGAAACTTGGCATACTTTGTGGTGCAATTAAGTTAATTGAGGTTGCTGCTCCCACGGCTACTGCAACTTGATGCTTTCACCTGGCGAGGTGTCAATGAATTGATTGCTATTAAAATTCCGCTGTACTATTACTTTTCATTGTCAATGCCAAAGTGAGTGCCACAGCGGCAGCCTTGACCACGAGTATTGATTTCCTGTTCTGTGTGTTTGTGAAATGTGTGTGTGTGTGTGTGTTGTGCGCTGTGTGTGTTGTTTGTTTAGAGTGTATAGTATGTGCGCTTCATTTGAATGCTGAATGTCTAACTAGCTTCCTGTTACCGTTATTGCCAACTGTCAGTTGCCAGTTGCACAATTAAAATGCGTTTATTTCGACGCGTTTAGCGTTTAGCCTTTAAGCTGACAACTTGTTGTCGCCCTCCAGCCTCACCACACTACGTATACGTAATGTTTATCGCAAAATGCGAGCACAAAAGCGGCATTTTCGCATGAATGAATGCATGATTAGATGGAATTGTGATCTAGTACTCAGTACTCTCGCACACGAAACCCAAACCCAAATCGAAATCGAAATTGAAATTGAAACCGAAATCGATTTACTGGAAACTGGTTTCTAAATTGTGTCATTTGGTAGCTGGCGGGCATATGCCGGGGTGCCCAAAACAACTGACACACTGCGGAAATGTGTAGAAAAGTAAACAACTGAACAAAACCAGAGACCACACAAACAAAATCAATAACAATTACTTGACATTACTCTGCGGGCTGGCGAATGAATTATTCACAATTTGGCATTAGCAAAAAATGAATTTGCCAAGTGATTTATTTAATGGAAAACTACCAAAGGCAGTCAAATATATTACTTTTTTGGCTCTTGCTTACATTACACCATAAAATTGCTTAAAGGGAACCTAAACTGGGGAAAATTCGTATCGGGATCATCATCAGCGACAGTATGAGCTCATTTCCACATTTGCCTAATTAATTTTCCAGCCAATGCATTAGGCGGTACTATTTATAGTTAATCTACCTGCACTAAGGAAATTAACTAAAGATATTCCAAGAGTAATTAGAAAGCTAACTTACACATCTATCTAATTTATATTTATTAATAAAAGTTTGTATAAAATGTTTGAGTTTATCTTGTTTGTTTGCGTAAATATGATTGAAAAAAATATTTAAACAAATTCACTTGTTGCATAATTTGGTTTTTATAAATTTTTCTATGGATTTGTTTCTTATATGCTTTTTAAATTAATTAAAACTCACCTTCTTTTTGGTATTGAAGCCGAGGAAGGATAATTTGCGGACATTATTCTCCCTGCCGCTGGCCGAACTGAAGCTCATCTTGACTTTTTTGTCCGCTCTCCTTTCTTAGTTTTGGTTTTAATTTGTGTCCAATCCGAAGATTTTGGGGGATTTAAAGCTGCCTATTTGATGATCAGGCAATGCAATGGCATCGAGGTGCTGTTGTGCTGGGTGATTTTCTGCGGCCACTGTGGATGCTCCAAGAATCTCGGCATTCGGGGCAGCGAATTCAACGCCCTGAAATTAAAAAACCAAAAAAAAAAGAGATACAGAAATTGAAACAGAAACAGAAGCGGGTGCTTGCAACGCAATTTCATTAATAAACAATTTCGACTGTTGCTGCTTTTTTGTCACTGCTAAGGAGGCCAATTGAAGGCGATGCCGCACAAAAAAAAATATAAGTACCGAGCGCAATAAAAACCATTCGACGCGACTCAATTAAAGTTAAATGGCAGCCACACGCATAGAAAGGGCGGCCAAGGGGGGCGGGGTCGACTAAGCACGCGACTTTCGTTGACGGCTCGTGATCAATTTGCGTTATTTGAACACTCAATTATTATTCGGAACTTGGAACAAAACGAATGTGGCAATCGACGCCCCAAGGCGGTATTCTTTGCCACTCGGATCGCTCACTTAACGATCTGCATCGCCATATTTATAAAATTAACTTTACACATAGAAAAATATTGTGATAAATTTAATTTATCTAACTTTTAAATTCGCAATAAAAAAACCTCACTATTAACTTTTGATAAGCAATAAGGTTATTATCGATTAACTTAAAAAGGGAAAACATGTATATATCTAGCTATTTATTTGATTACAAGTATACATTTTTTTGTTATACGTTGAACTTTGTCTTGATAATCAAAAAGAAAGTTGTTATCTCATTGGTGCAATATCACTAGTTATATAACTAAGACAATGCTAAGTTAATGAAAAATACAATTTTTGAGAAAATAATAATAAAATTGGTATTTTACAAGTGTCATGCTGTGTGTCACTGTTCTTAACTTAGTATTGCGATATGGCTATTGCGATATGGTTAATTGTCATCTTATCAAATTAAATGTGAAAAAGAAAGTGACCAAGCAAGTTCGAGGAAAAATGAAAGAATTGCAAGCTATTTATTGTTTTTGCTTAAAACAAACATGATTCAACGTTTAATTTTCTATGAATTAATATTTTCGCATCACAGACTTTGCAATACATATTTTTTTTTCAAGATTAATAGCCTTTTAACGCACTGCAACAACTGTCTGAAGTTCAAACCAGAATTTATGCTAATAATGGGCACCGCCTAATCGTAGTTGTGTCAGCCCCTTCGATTCGGGGCGTGGCAATCGTTGAACCTAAACGGCAATAAACCGAAACAAACACAAACACAAAGCAGGCAGACGGCAGGAGTCCCGTGTTAAATGTTACGTGTCCTCGGGTCCTTAATAATTCAGTAAGCACCTTTATGGGTACAACCAGCAGACTGGCAGGACAGCAGCAAGAGAATTGCCGAAAAAAGCGATACGAAACGAAACCGTAAGTTACACAAATTCAATTAGGCACCGCAGGCCATTTGGTTTGCACGTCAACGGCAACGGAATCGCGAACTTGTGGCCACCGGGGCGGATACGCGATATTCAGGACACCGACGAGGCTTTCTCCGTGGCGTACGAATGCCGTGTGAACCTGTTGCGGCTGCGAATGCGGTGATTTATGTGAGCTTCTTTCGGCAGCCAAGAACGCTTAAAAAGTGAGACCGCCAGCCGAAGTATCTACGAACTGCGAAAAACCCCGCCTACGTCTGTATTGGTTTGTATCTGTGTGTGGGGAACAGAGCTTCGTTTCGTATCGTATATCGCGTAGACAATCCAACATGAGTCTCGTGCTTAGACACAGCGCCTTAACTTAGCCCGTCCCATTAACTGTTTTTTTTTTTTTATTTTTGTTCTTCATTTTTTTTTGCTTTTTCTACTACCCACAAATTTTCACTTGGTCGCGTTGATTATGTAAGAAAATGTGACTCGCCTTTGCGAGCTTCCATGTGCCTTGGATATTCTGTCGGTCTTGTTTGCCATATGTTCTTCGATAAATAAAAAAAAAATAGCACAGAAAAACAACTGATGGGTCTCCTCCGTCTGACCATGGATTAAAGTTAAGTTGGTGAGCAAACAAAACTTTGGCTTTTGGCAACCTTGATATTGCCTCGCGTCGCATAAAAGTGGGTGGCATGTTACGGTAAACGTTATTAACTAATAAAAGGATTTCAAAGTTGATCAATGGCTGAACGGGCGGAAGCACCTCCAAGGTTGCCGAATAAATATTTGTACACCCAGTCCATCATTTCACCGCCTTAGGGAATGTGTGATAAATTCATAAATTGCTTCGTTCATTATTGATACAAACTTGTATTTGTTTTCCAATATTTGCATAGGTAACAGCTTTAATAACTTTATTTAGCTTTCACTGATAGTTTCTTTGTGCATTGGATTTATGTTAATATTTTTAAATTATCAATCCCACTCAAACGAGTAATTATTTAATAAGATCTGTACTCTATTCAATAAAATGCAATTTAAAGTCTATACGCAGTGTGACTTCAAGATTATAATAAAAAATTAAAATAAAAATAGAGTTAAAGATCAATCTAGAGCTATTTTCGTTTAGACCAAGACCAACTCTGCTTTTATTGCTATTCTTTTGGTACAATCGATCGTTGATCGCGTGACTCTAACTGAATTCGACACGATAAATGGCACGTCGCTGGGAAAAACAAATAAATTTGCACATTTTATGGCAAGCACAAGGGAAAAAGACGAATGGCAGACAGTTGCATGTTATCAAAATTAGAGGCAACTTAAAACTCATTAATATATAAGACACTTAAAGGCAAACAAAACGGTGCGGCCGCAGGTTTCCATAAACCCCGAAGGTGTTACAATTTAAAACCCCCAAAAAAAAAAAAAGGTGCCAGAGAGAGAGGGTGAGGTGAAAATTAACGTGGTGATCAATTTTATGGGTTCATTAGCGTGCGCTGGCGAAATGACGCCAAACGATCGATCGTACGACGGTCCGACTTAATTTTGATTTAAATTATTTGTTTGTATATACGTACGACGAGGTATAAAAAACATTAGCGCGTATCAAAAAAAGAACCGCCTACACCTTTACTTTACCTTATCGCACTGGGCTAGCCATTCATTTTGATTTCGATTCCGATTCAGATTCAGGCTACAATTTATTAAAACAATTGACAGTAATGTATGGGATTTGCCGTTTGGGCGGCTTCATAAATTATCAAATTGTCTATTATGTGTCGTGCTCCGAAATTGATATGATTTAACCTAAGAGACACGTCAATTAGCCGCCTGCTGATAGATGATAAATTGCCAAGGAGGGCTTTAAATAGCCAAGTTGCTTATGCAATCGGACGGAAAGTTTGGGTTTTATCAGTCCAGTCTCGTGCGACGTCTCTCTCTCTTCTTATCAAAGCGATGTTTCTCGCCGGCCAAATCATTCCAGATCCAACCGGTTTCTTTCAGTCAGCTGCTGCTATTTCCGATCCTGCCTCACAAAGTAAATGCCACACAATTTACATTCACGTGCTGCCGAACAAGTTCAAAACCGGTTTCTTTTCGGTCGGCCAAATTGCAACAGTCAACACTGCACAAAAGGCAGCTGCAACTGGAATCGGGATTGCAACTGCAACAGCAGCTGACATTGAACTTGAAAGCACTCGAGCGCCGCGGACTACTACCCACTTCGCTGCTCCACCGGAAAGGGGTTTTTAACAACCTACCCCCACCCATTTTCACAATACGGTAGCAAAACCACTCGAACGTATAAATGTCAGTTTAAAAACCACTCGAGATATAATACATATGGAGCGGTTACCTGTTCAACATTTCGGTCGACGACGCCGGTAATTATATAGAAGTGTGCCCATATACAATTCTCAAATATTATATATGGGTGCATAAAAATATTTGATAATTGGAAACGCATTGTTTGAGTACGCTATAAATCTTGCGGACCATAAATATTTGTTTCACCGATCCCCAGACTGATTACCAAACCCTCGACGTGCGATTCATTACTAAAAACTATACTTAAGGCACACAAATACCTACTTCAAGTGCACTTATTGGAATAGGTTAGTAATCGCACAATTACAGTTTACAGTTGAATTGAGAGGCTTGAATTACCATTCGGTTTTCTGTTTAATGGTATACTTTTATCAAGTGGTGTCAATCGCAGTAGCTAAACGACCGATTAATTGCGGTTATCGCATATGCCTCGACTGTGGATTACTGCACAAAGCTTTTACATTGATATAACCACAATAAATGATATAACAAATTTAATTAGCATTAATTAATTGAATGTAAGCCGAAACAATAGGAGCCACCTGCACATTAATTTAATGATTTAAAATAAAGAAACGAATTAACACAATTAAATGTGGTAAATATTACATTGAAAAGATTATTATTTTTTATTTAAAATAAATCATTTTAAAAACGTATGTTTGCACTACAAAAAAAGAGAAATAAATTCACCAGCACGTGACTTATACTTTCGTTAAGCACTTTACTGCCACTTTCCACTTGAGTGACATTATTGTCCAACCTTGAAGGATTTATGATCGACAGTGTTCGTTTGTTCAAAGGTTCAAAGCACTTCAAATCAATTGCATTCGAAACACGACATTTCAAATAAAACATTTGGCAACGCTTCAGCGCGTTCAAACGGAAAATCACGAAAAGTCTGAAATCCAATTCCAACTGCAAATATAGAACCACACTTTAATTAGGCTACTGCCGTTCCACTAATGACTCTCCGATCAACTAACCAATAAAAGGCCCCCAGATCGACGACCAATGTGGGGGTTGACTAACCGCATATGTTAACCCCAATTAAAAATTTTTTTTCAGAATCCCACTTCTATTTCCCTTAGCGATAAGTCAACTGATTTCAAAATACGAACTGTTTTCCCCGGAGTGTTTATATGAGTTTCTTAAAAACTACACACAGATGGCCTCTGCGGTTCTTCACCGAACTTAAGTATATAGTCACAAAAGTTTATTTTCTTTTGTTTCCGTAAATCAGTTCTCGAGAAAGCCTATATCAATAGCAATCATGGCAGTTGCGAAAGGGGATCCGGTATCTTTTCTATATCCAGAACAAAACGTTACGCTTTTGCTGACAAACTCTCCGCCAGTTGTCGGTGATTTTGTTTTGATGATTCATTGAGCATTTTAAGCGTGACGAAATGGGATGCCTTATCTAAAGGGAGTCGTTCTTTATGAATAAGTTTGGAGTTTTGACTAAAGGTTTTGTAACAATCTGCTTATACGTTTTATGAGTTTGTGAAGTAAAAAATTTATACATTTTTTTTGAATCTGACTATGATTTTAAAACCTCACTTTGTTTAAAGTACCGTTGAAAATTTGTTTACAAATAAACTAATATTTTTGCTCATATAAGGTTTATGTCCAGGAATTTTTTATACAAATATTTACGCTTTATTTATTTATACTTGCGTACACTTTTTGTTTGAAAAAGTGGTTTTGTAAATATTGATTTCTTTTTTGGGACTTGATCAAACTTAAAAAGAAAGGTGAATAGTTTATTTTTATAACCAGTTGGCTGTATTTATTGGGGATCACCTTACGCCCTTTGTCTGCGCCAATGCTTTATACTTCCTCCATATCGGCCATTGTTATTAAATACTTCAATTTGCCGGCCGCAGCATATTCTGTGTATCGTTCGCAGGAACAATAAATTCTACTCTCGCAAAATTACAACAACAGATTCGCCACAAGTTGTGTAAACAAAAGTGCAAAGCAACAATTACAGCTATGGCAGAAGCAGCAATAACAATAAAAACCCAACTTTAAGCGTCATGATACATTTTGGTTAAATATCAGACAAGAACAATACCACAAAAAGCAAGAACAGCGAAAAACAAAACAAAACAACAAAAAACAAAATAACCACCCGAGTCGAGATAAACAAATTCTAGTTAACATTGTGTGTTTATCGTGTGCGGGTCGCGAGTGCAACATAGGAGTTGTGGAAAGGGGGCGGACCGGGGGAAAAGCCAAATTATTGAGCCATTACTCACCAGTTGAAACCTCAGGGGGGCGTGGCTAGGGGGCAGTTACAGTGAGAGGGCGCCAAAAACAAATATTTGTCACACAGCGAAAAAATTACTTAAAAACGATAAGAAGCTACGCTTACAAATAAAACACATGTTTTTTTAAAAATATATATTTTTAAACTGATTGAGCTTTGATTTGCTCTTAGTATATTAAGATAAAGTATTGTTCAGTATTATTTTTAGTAAACAATAGTGTGTCATACACAATCGATTTATTACTCAAGTTGTTATATTTAGACTAGTTAGCTAAAATATGCATTTTGTTTTTCTGAGTGCAGCAAAAGGAACTGCAACCAGAGGTTCACGTGCTGCGCAAAAAGCGAGGAGGTGCAGAGTGGGGCTCGAAATGGGGGTCCAGTGGGGGACTTGAAACACACTCAGTGCTGATAGCAGAAATTCCCCCAAAGAAGAGTTTCGGTGCTTTTTGCCCCTGTTGTTTTTCTTGTTGTTCCTGAAAATTTGCATAAAAAGCAAACAAACTTAGCATAAAGCGCCGCGGGGAATGAAAGCCAAACAGGCGGTATTGGTGGTGGAGAAAGGGGAAAAAGGCAGATGGAAACTTTTTCCAGAACGTGGCACTACGTGCCCGGTACAACTGAAACTGTGTTAGCTCTGCTTGTCGAACAAACACAAAATAACAACAACAAAAATCAAAAGCAAAAAAATCAAGAACACAAAAAAAGAAATAAACCCACACCGCCCCTGGCCAAAGATCCAAAATAGAACCAGTTTCAAGAGTTTCAGAGTCACATGCTGCAGTTGCTCTCGGACCTGACTTGATTTATCTTTTTCGTCTGCTTAATAATTTGTCCGACAGCAATTGAAAATCGGGGGCCAAAAAGTTCTTAGCCAACAGCAGGCAGCAAACAGTATTTAACAATATTTAGTTCCGTAATTGTTTTCCCGCCCGCCCAGTAAATTTCGCATTTTCTTTGACACTTTTCCAACTGCGAAAAAGCTCAGTAAATGTTTATTCTTACACAGAGAAAAAAAGTGTTAGTACCTTAAAATAATACGGAAGTAATTGTTTTTTTTATAATTTTGATAAAAAATTTGAGAGATTTAATTTTGTAACATTATTTTACAGAGATATTTGTTACATAAGAATTTCTGATTTCAGTTAGTTTCCTGTCTATTATAAAAGCCGCGGAAATAATCATGTATAATTTAAAGTTTATGTATTTTAATTTTTAAAGGTACATTTCGAAATAATCCCAATTTTTGTCTGTGTGGAAATCGCGACAGAAAGTCGAAATATCCACAATTTAAAGATCTTTCGCACGAAAATAGCCACAGACACAACGTCAGACCAGAGTGAATTTTATAATTGACACGTACTTGAAGTTTTCTTTTATTTTTTACTTTTTACCTTTTACTCGGCCACGGGCGCCAACAACAACAATAGCGACCACTGATGACGTCGCCGCTTGGCGAAATTCGAAAATTTTCCACTGTGCCTCAGACACAGCTCATTGATTAGCATAAAGGGTTTTTTTAATGGATCTTGCTGGATCAGCTTCCTGGGCTTTTCAATTTTTTGGGTTTTTTTTTTTTCAATATTGCGCGGGGTGACAATAAACAAATCGAAGAGCGAGTGGGAGAGAGATAAAGGGGGGCAAAAAACACACACTCACGCACTGTCTGGAAAAAGAAAGAACACGAGAACGAACGCGTCGATAAAAACAACAGACGATAAAGGAAAAGGCAAAGGCGCGTACGAAAATTGGCAGGAAAGAGCAACAAAAACAACGGCGCTTGTTTCTTGTGGTTGTTAGGTGCGCGCGCGGTGGTGGAACCTTTGTGTTTTATACTTTTTTTACGACTTTCTGTGTTTCGGGGCAAACTTGAACTTGGCTAGCGCTGTGCCGCCTTTATCCGTAGTTTCTGTTTCGGTTTTTCTGTGCGAGCAGCAGCACGTTTCGGAGCGTAATGATTTACAGTTCCTGCCACAGCACGTTTTTAACCGGAGCGATCGAAAACGCAAACGCAAACGCCGCTGAGCGAGAGCGGGAGCCGCAACAACTGGGGCGGCGAAAGAGAGACTGCAGCTCCCACCCTCACCACCGATCGCTCTCTTTGGCGCACAGTGGGATTTGTCCCCAGTCATTTATTGACAAGCTTGGTCTACGTAAAGCAGAAAAATCTTTTTGACAGCCTGAAGTGTGCATCTTGTCGGCTACGCAATGTAACATGTTTTTACAACCTGTCGGCTACGCAACATTTGGAAATCACACAAAAATCTTTCTTTAACTTATTGAATAAAAATATCAATTCTAACAATGACTTGAATCTAAGTTTTAACTAGTTTGCCCCAGAATACTTTCCGGTTTCTAATCAATTGATTGGAAGCCTAATCATTTGATTAGTAACTTTTATGTTATGATATGCATTTTTTGTCAGTTTAGCCAAACGCTTTTTTTTGCGCAATATTCCCACAATGATAAGTTCCTAAATATAATACCTTATTCTCCATCTATAGTTTTAAATGTGTTAGCTAATGGAATGTTTTTTCCACTGTGCAAGGCCACCCTAAACGGGGATCGCTCTCTGTCTCGCTCTCAGACAGGCTTAACTCTTTCTCTGCCATTTCCTCCCTCCATCCCTCTCTTTCTGGCAGGCTGCGTTGTTTAACCCTCCGTAGGGACCCGTTTCGACCCCCCACTGAATGGTTGTCTTATCTATTAATATCACTGCGTTTGATTTTTTATCTAAAAATAAACAGCACTGTGTCGAAATGCCAATATTTGACCAGCAATTCACGCAATGCAAATTAACGGTCTCCGACGCTCTAATTGATTGATTTGCATTTGAAATGAGAGGCAACAATCGATCCGTTAAGAACTGTGCGACACTTGATGAGAGCTCTTTGAATGGTCATAATTTTTACCAACGTCTACATGTCGAATAATTTTGATTGCGGGTTTATACTTGAAAATTTATGACGTACAATTGAGCCAAATAATGATTAAAAGCAGTCACAATATGGGTGTGTTTTTGGGGGCGAGGTATGTAGCACTGATAACTCTGGCAAACAGAAAGCTTTCCAGCGAGACCAGGACTTTCCAATGAGGCATTTTCCGATAGCTGTCTACATACGTCAGAGTTGGATTGGATGTGAAAATATTAATCTGTATTGATTGTTACAATTCGCAAGCACTTGATAACTGATCCAAAAGGTGGTGCGAAATTTTTGTCAATTCAACAAATTAATTATGGTCTATTGGACAGCTATTTTGATCGAGTGGCGGTAGGAAAATTTATGGCTGAAGCCGCAGGGCTTTGTTGAAGAAGGCGAACAAATAAAATGTCAAGAGTGGCCGAGCGTCACCCTTTTTCACAATTCGCACGATTAAAAGTCCATTAATTGATAAGCGAAAAAAGTTACTCATACGACTGGCATACAAGCCTAAGGGTTAAGCCAAGCCCAAAAGCATACAACGATAATGGCATACCAAATGAAGAACCTGAAATTAGGCAACGTTGAACGATAACAACCGTTATAACCTTGCAAGCGGAAAAACGTAAACAACAGAGGAAAATCACTCAAAGTTGAGTAACTTTTAGGCGCAGGCGTCGCTGTCGTGGTGAAAAGCTCAGTTCCCTTTTGAGTTGTCCCAAAACTGTTGCTATCAGCTGTTGTTGTTGTGGTTTTGGTTGTTGTTGCATTGCCGGACTTTGGACTACATCTTCATTTTATCATTTGATTTACCTGCAAACTTTAACAATGCTCACTTCCGACGCCCGAAAGCGAAATAGCGGAATGCTCACCTGCAAGCTCGGCCTTTGTGTTTGTATTTGTGTTCGTTGGGTGACGAAGGGGAGTGGGAGGGGGCAGGGTGGGGATTGGCAGGGGACGGCGGCAAATGCCTAAGGGTTTATGTGAAACTATCTTGTTTCAATTTCCCCGCACGACTCCTGAATCTGCTTCTTCTCCGGCGAATACTGCCCACATAAAGCGGAAATGGAAGTTTTGTAAATGTTTTCTTTTGTATTTCTTTCCAGCTACCCATATGTCCGCTGTCATCCACAGTAAGAAAAAAATTGTTTATAGTATTGTTAATGAAACTTAAACCCTAACTTTTGCAAATATATATACAATCGTAAAATTAGAAAGAAAATGGATATAAAACCAAACTTAAAAGCCAATATATTTTTTAAACTTTTTATGAAACAAAAAAGATGTAAAAAGTGATGATTTACAACAATTGCAAAAACACCCCCTTCAAGATGATAATTTCAATAGCATAAAAATCATACTTAAATCAGTTTCGGAAGTCCCAATATCATTTTGATAGAACAGATCCCATAAAAACGGATATAATAATATTTTTTCTCCCTGCAGGCACCACAAACACATAGAAAACACGGCGCCTTTGAAAGATGAGCGAAAATGGATCCAGTAGTAATAGGAGAGTGTGGTGAACGGTGAATCTGCCAGTGAATGGTGGGGTTGTGGGTCAGAGGGGGTGGAGAAAGTTGACTGGAAAGGTGGGTGGTGTGTGAAGGACCACATGGCTGGGCAACTCGTGCACTTTAGTTTTTGGCTTGCAAGTGTTGTTCCTATTTTTTTATGACACTTGACGCTCAGCCAAGCCATTCGGAGGGTGGTGGGTTGTGGGTGGTGCGACGGCTCCTTTTGCTGCTAAGTGGGTGGTGGGATGGTGGGGGTTGTCGGGTAGTTAGTTGGAGCTCAACCTCTGAGCTGCTGGTTGGCAACGTTTTCCGTCATTGTTCGGTTTCCTTTGCACCTTTGACTGCATGGGGCTTCATTCGGTTTGCCTTTTCCTGCATTGATAAGAAAGTGCTTTTTAATAGCCCTACACTCGGATATTTGTACACAAGGGAAAATGGGAGCAGTCTGCGGTGTCAAAGGGCGGATTTGATTGATTTGGATTGTGAATATTGAATGGAGTTTAAGTTTCGTTCGCTTTTGTCTGCTCCTCTAAAACTTTACCCAGGAACTTCAATAGATTAATTAATGGTTGGTTTGGCATGTTTTAAGTGCTGTCTAAATTGAAATAAGTTTCTTATCTTTTGAATTTTCTTAAAGCATATATTTTTTTTAAAAACCTTGCCCTGAAATAAAACTTTTTCACTAAAAAACAAACTCTGTATGAACATTTCTTTGTTTTAGAATTTCTTACTCTGCATTTAAGCCATTGTAGGTGGCTTATTTTTTTGCAGGCACTGTTAATTGCTACACACACTGCACGCAATTGACACTCATAAACAAAGCCTCGTATCAGCTGTGAATCACTGGGTCTATTCTCTGTGCTTCTCTTATTACCAGTAATCGTAGAGCCAAAAGCCCAACTAGACGGTACAAAGAGCGAGCTTTTCTAACGCTCCGATCGCAGCTTTGTAGATTCTTGGCCACTCGGGTCTCGAGTCTCATGCGTAGTCCGCAGTCAGTTGCTTTCGACGCTTTTGGCTATTAATAATAACAGCAAATATGACGCGACTCTCTTGACTGAAAGTGTATAGTTATGGCAAAAAAAAAAAAAACAAAATAACTGATCGCCTAATTCAAGGTCGCCCCGTGAAGTAATAATGAAAAGCAACAGGTGGAAGTGAACTAAAATTCGCAAGTGTCAAATCAAGTGCCCCGAAAAATACAACGAGCACTTGAGTAATTCAATTAAATTACGCTCGACACAGGCACATATATACATATGTATGCACATATATGTACACACCGATAAGATAAGCCAAAGGTGGGTCTGATGGCAAAAAATGGGAATTTGCATGCCGAGACAAATCTGTGGCTGAAACTGAAACCCCAACTAACCCAAAAACTCTGAGTGAAACCAAAGCAACTGCCACAAAGGTGTCGATGTCATCGTTACAGATGTACACTGAAGAAAAATTAGCTAGACATCGATAGAAAATGTTTGCTTTTTATAAGCAATACCAAACAATTGTACAATTGAAATGAAACAAATTGATAACGTTTATGATGAATAAGTATTTTATTATATTTATGTCTTCAGTTTCATTTTCTTTACAAAAGTCTTAGTAGAAAAAAATTTTTAGAATCCTAAACAGCAGTTGCTTTTAAAGACATCTCATCATAAGAAAGTTGTACCAAATCGAATAGATATAAATTCGATTTGGTACAACTTTCTTGTAATTTTAAAGCAAATTTTGAGCCCGTATCGAAATGATTTCATAATATATCTGGTGCAGTGTTAAGAATAGGATTTTATGGTCACAAAAAATCGCACTGCTGCTTTGATAAAATTCCTAGCCAATGACCCATTTCGTTGGCCCTTTTTCACTGTGCAGTTGCCATTCACTTGACGCGTGTACTTTCGTTTCCCTGAATGCTATGCATATTAGATATCTGGTACAGGTTTGGAGCACCTACAATTCCACATTTGTTGGCTTGCTCTGGGGCTCGAAAGCAAAGTCAATGAGCGCAGTAATGGTTTAAACAAGAACAACTGGCGGAGGAGTGCTGCCGGGCATACAAATCGATTGCCATGGCAAATATCACCCATACGCACTGGAGTCCCACCGCTCGTGCTTCCTGTGTTAATGCCGAAATGTGTGCAAAACGAATATAATATATAATTAAAACTAATTTGATGACACACTCGACTCGGGCGAAAGACGAACTCAGCTGGGCCAAAATGGTAAGAGAGGGGAGATCGCGGGGAAAGAGGATTCCTGCCAATTGCGTAATTATTATGTGCACAACACATATGGCTCGTTACACTGACGAAGAGTTGTGCGAGCGAGCGTCGTATTCGTCGTCGGCCTGTGTCTGTTTATATAAAAGAATTTTTTAAGTACGCAAATTGACAAACAAACGCAGGCGAAGACGACGGCAACAATTTGCAATTACCAGGCCTCGAAATAATGCCCATGTTGCCACCCGAAATCCAAACTGCACGCTCCGTTGATGGCTTTAAAAGGGAGCGAGAGAGGCCGGCAAGAGCCGTGAGCCATGTTAATAAAGACTAAGTAATAATTAAGTGCCGAGCATTATGTTTGCCTTGGTAGCCAGCCGAAATGGTTGGTTGAAATGTTCCGACTGTCCGACTTTCTGGCTGCATTTATGACCCGGTCACTTAATCACAGCATGCAAATAAGCCCAAGGATAAGTTCGAGTTGCTCTTATCTTACTCCACTCTATTTAATGCGGCCCAGTGACCAAGCCACCGCCCACCACCCACCACTCACCACCCACTGCCGCACGACCTTGCCACATCACTTAAAGGCTTAAGTCTTTGGCTTCTCATTCGGTTCACGTACCGCTTGACTTCGAAAGACTTAATTCGCCTGCAGGCGGCTGCTTCGAATGTGCTCGAATAATTTTCGGTGAATATTAAATAAAATCCAGTTGCCAGCCCATGCGGGTAATCAGTCCGAAATCAAGGAGCGAGTTCAAAATCATATGCATATTAGATCCGAGCTAATAATTATTGTACTTGCAGGCAATTTTCCAATGTACAGAGAATTTAATTATTTGAAGCAAGGAGCCTCTCAGCTATTTTCGCTTAGCAAATGTTTATATTTGGAGTATGCATTAGGGCTATTGTTACAAAAATTAAATAATTAAATTCAACTTTAATATATACTAAAATAAAGTTGTCACAATTTCCTATTACTCCCCTAAGTGCCAACACATTTTATTTCTCTGCTAGTGTACAAAGTTTGCAGCAATAAAATTTTGTTTTTAATTTTGTAAGCAATTGGCTCACCCAAGAATGTGAGTTTTGGGTATTCAAATTGTACTCGTCTGTACTTGAATTCCTCTTTTGATAGCAAACTCACTACTGAAAAACTGATTGCATCGAAAGAAGTCAAGCGCAAAGAGAAAACTAGAATAATTGAGCCCCAATTGATGCTTTGTCATTAGTCCTTTGGGATTTTCAGGAGCAATCAATGCCAATGCCGTGTGCTGTCATCAGGTACACGGGTGTTCAATAAATGCACCCGGTGATTTTACTCATCTATGCAAAACAATCTTTTGCAATGCAATTTATGCCGCCAAATCCAGGCGGTTTCATTCAGCCGCTTTCAAAGGGCAAAAACCGGGCCGTAAAAAAGGGGGGTCGTAAAATCAGGGCGGCCAAAAGGGGGATGGGCTGTAATTCATTCATATGCATTCACTATGTGTGGAGCACTCATCAACATTCGGTTCACACATGCTGGGGAATATGGGCTTCCGGCCAGCCGCCCAGATGTTGCCTAGTGCCCTTTCTCGAAATTTTTTGAGTCCCGAAGCCGCTGCTGCTGCTGCATTGCGCATACGACGCGTGTGCGCTGCACTGGGTCGCTTTCCGAATTTCCCTTGGGGGAAAAGGGGCACCCTTTTCACCATTAATGTGCTCATTTCCCCACTTGCCAAACTATGGAATCCGCTTCTCTGGCAAGTTTTGCTTCGCAAAGCGCTTCCTTTGCTCCAACTCCTGTTGCATTCACTACGAAAATAATATTAAAATTTATGATGACAAACTTTCAACGCCAGCTGCAAAGATTTGCAAAGCCAAATCAAAAAAAAAAAAAAAAGAAAATAACACCAGAACGACAGGCGATAGCATAAAAAATACCAGAGCTCCTAGGATGCCCAAAAAATGCTAGAGCCAAACACATACAATTTTTATTAATATATATATGGGAAATATATATATTATATATAGATGTATGCATGCATGCACATATACATATTCTGTACGTTTGACAATTCATGGGAGAGTATCGGTTTATATCGGGGCAAGCGGACGCTTCCAATATTCGCTCAGCTTTGAGCTTACTTTTTCCATTTCCCAGTGTCATTTTTGAAAAATTGATTTATGGCCAATAGTGTGTGGGGAGCGGGTCGAAATGGGGGGGGGGGGACTCAGCTCGCAAAAAACCTATCAAGTGTCTACTGCCGCTATCTGTTCGCCCAAACCTCCACTTCTACTGTGTGTTTGGTTTGCTTTTTGGCCATACATTTTTCCGCTGAAGGCTGTGTGAGCTATCGACAGCCACAGCCAAAGTTGCTCAATAACCAAGCATATAGATCAGTTTTTAACAATCCACTGTCCCCTAGTATTGCTTTAAGTCCATCGATGCGTTTTTACTTTGTACGCTTGTCGCGTTTTACCCGATAAATTGCTGAATTGTTTGGCTTCCAACAGGGAAGTAGTGAAAATTCTTCTTTGCTGGTTCACAAAAATAAAAGTTAATTTTATTCAATTAAAATTGGGTAAAACAGTATACTAAAAATCTTGACCAAAATATTTTCTTTAATAATTTATGTACTATAAATGATTGAACAGCATTTATCAAGCTCTAAAATTATTTCTTTCGTAGTTTTTAAAGCTATTTCAATTATAAACATTTTTCCCGTTTTAAGTTTTTGTTATTATTTGTTCCTTTCCTTCCAAAACAAATTTAATTTGTTTTTCCTGGAGCGACTACGACCCTGGTTCTCAATAAAATGTCTGCCGCAAGACAAAATGAGACGTCAATTAAAACGCTTCAAACAAAAACAGCGAAAATAATAGCGTCGGGAAAAAAAGGGTCGTGCAATCCGGACAGAAAAAAAGAAATTGCTCATTTTTGCGCATTTCAAATGGAAATTATTTCGCTTGTGTTGAATGAAAATTGCCGGCTGGATTTTCACTCAATGCCGCAGACAGTTATGGTGTTTTACTGTAGTGCGTTGTAATTAAGCGTTGACTTGTTCAATTACCAAAATGCAATTGCTTTCGGCGGCAGAAAAGCCGCAAACGTCCGCGTGGATTGCCAGAAGTTTTTCACCGAGCCACCGAGGGACTAACGAAACTACCTGACCGGATCTGGCACCTGTAGCGACTTGTATCCGCGTCAATTTGCATTAATGGTGTGGAAAAGGTGGGTGGTTCTTGGGTGGCTTTCTTGCTGTGTGGCACTGGCAAGGTAAAAACGTTGCATGCAAAAATAACTTGGCCTTCTTCTTGTTTGGTGCTGTCAGCCAGCGCTGCAAGGATGAGAAAAACGAACTTTTTGTTTGCATTAAAATTGTCAGCGGTGGCAAGTTTGGTGGGTCTTCGTTTTAATCATGGCAAAAACTTTGCCCCGACAGCGCAACTTACTGGTGGACCCTCCGGTGTCTCTTTGCCCCAACTTGCAACGCATGTGGTGGCATACCATTTCAGGGTTTCACACACTCTGGGAAATATTTGGGATTAAAGATAAGACAAGCAATAAACACTTGGCCAACAAATATGTTCTTAATCACACTTTGGAAATTGTAAACTATTATGGGGTATCATGAGCTTATGTTTATTTCATCTAAAAGTTTTCCACATTGGTTTCTGAAAGATTAAGTTTTTAAAAATTAAATTGAAAACATTGATTAAATGATTCCTTATATAATTAATTTTGATATTTAAGCCAAATATATAAACTCTAAATTTAAATAATTTCACAACTGAATTTACTAGAAAACAAATTTATAATTTGGGTTTGCGCGAAATTTATTTATTTCCTTTTCAAAAATTAATCCTTTTTTTTAAAATTTACCATAGATTTATTTTACTTCATTACTAATTATTATTATATTATTATTACTGGCAGTATTTTTTGCCACAAGAATTTTTTAATCAATACAATTTAGTTTTAATCCTTTCTTAGAAATCAAATATTTTACGCCAAATCAAGTAGTTTGAGATACCCTTTCTTTGGGTGCACACATTTCGCTACATATTTTTTCTGCGGGGTTACACAATTAAAATGCATGGACCATGGCAATCCGAAGTGTTGTAAGCGAGCAGCTGTTGCATGCCACATCGATTCGAAATGGACAATGGTTATGCTTATGCATGAGCCACTCCGTCCGATGGATCCGACCGATGGAACATCCGCCGGATATCCTTGCGTTCGAGAAGTACACGCACCCAAAAAACCCCACCTCAATAAACAAGCGGCAGCCATTTGGACCAATCTTGGGCATTACTTGAGGTCTCGTCCTGCAGTCTCTCTTGGGCGGGCAAACAACCGGAGCTATTTATGCGCATAATTACCTGCGCCAAAGCCATTTGCATATGCGACCAATATCTGGGATCTGGACGGGATTTATCCTGCGCGCATACAAAATGTTGCATTAGGGCCAAGACCAGGAGCTACAAGCTTACAGCACCTGCCTTTGCCTTTGGCTTATTAAATGCAAGAGTAACAAGTGAAAACTCGCACAAAACAAACTGCAAAATTGCCTCATTATGTGAAAAGGCAGCAAATAAAAGTTGGCAGTTAGCACAAAAGAGCCACGTAGCTTTCCACGCGGGCCTGGCAATGGGGGCGGGGCTTCTGTGTTAGGGGGGCGTGGCACTGAAAATTTATGCAGCACAAAGCCGCGGCAAATGTAAGTAAGCCAAACGACATAAGCAGGCATAAACACAGCCGGATCAAATGGAAATGCTCGCAATGGCAGCAGTTGGAATACTCTGCTGAACGGGGAGCGAAAAGAGTTTTTAAAAACTTCCTAGGGGGAATTTGTGGTTTTAGCACGTGAAATAATAAATTAATGGTGTGTACACAGTATGCATTAAAAGTATTCAGTTAAGCTGTTGTTTGCAAAAAAAAAAAAGAATGATTACTTTTACATGATTATTGTATTTCAAATACTTCGCAATACAAATTTACTCATAGGTCTTTGGTTGGGTAAAAAATTTAATCATTCCTAAAATGTTACGCTTTTTAAAGGTTTTTTTATAACAATGATAATTTAGAGGCTATAAGAAAAATGTATCTTACACCAAAGTTTTATTAAAAATTGCTGTTTTCAATTTAAGGATATATTTCAATATTACGGACAACTGACTAAACCAATTATGCAATGAACGTTGTACTAATAAGTCTTATTAACATTGATTGCTTTGGTTAGAACAACTTCTTAGACCAACCAACCAAGCCATAAACCGAAGTCAATCCGCACTCGAAATATATTTACCTACCGAATAAGCCCTGTCACTCAGATGGTTTTGGCGAAATGCATTTCCAGCTTAAATTCATTATTGAACAAATTGCGTTATCGAGTGGCGGCGGCGAAACCGACGACCTAGTGGATATGGTTCGATCCGGAGCGAAGGACCAAAGGCACAAAGGGCAGCCCCATTGAGTGCACCGACGCGTCTTTCGGTCTCTCGGTGGGTGTAAATTTTGTTATGCGGCAAATGCGCCATAAAGCCACCGAACAGGAGCTCCAGGATGAAGCTTGGAAAGGGGATAATCGAGGGGGGAAGGGGGGAAGAAACACCAGCCTGGGATGCAGGTCTTCAGCTATCCCAAAGGCTTCTCTAGCATTTGCGTGAATATATACGCCTTTCCCTCTGTTTTTTCTCTGTTTCTTATTTTCTTTTTTTTGAGTCCTTCCCCCTTTTTTTGCACAGTGCATTTGGGGGTATGAAAAGGAGTTGGGATCCCGGTTCCGGATCCGGGGTCGGTCCATTCCTATCCGTCCGCAGGTTGTGCATGTGCGGCACTCTAATAAAATTTAATAAAAAACGTGCAGCGCGGCATAATGCAACGGCAATGGACTCGCTCAAAGGGGTTTGGGGTTTCGGTGGGAGAGTTTGAGGATTGGGGGATTGGGGGGCGTTGGGGTGCTCGGTGGTCTGGCGGGACAGGTGTATTATTACCTGCACGAAAACCGCAAGCCAGTCGAGCTCACAGCATATCAATATGCCGTGCGGGGAGGATCTTATGACCAACCCACTCATTTGAATCTTCCGATGAATTCAATTCTACATCAAAAGAAAAAGCTTCTGTTTTTTAGGGTTTGCATTAAGAATTTATGTCAAATTTAATTTGAATTTAAAAAAAACCTTTAATTAGTTTACATTCAGCTTAATTATTTTTTATTTGCCCTTGAAATTCTTTAATAATATTTATGCTAGTTGAACAAATTTGATTGGTCTAAACGTGATTTTATATGTGGTCATGAATTTTGGCACAAAAAGTTTAAAAAGAAATAACAACAAAACAGCAGGTGAAATCGCGGTATACGTGTGGTTTTATTAAATCAATAAAATTGTCAAAAATGTATATTATATAACGCCTTCTTTTGTGATAAATAAATAAAACAATAAGCAAATATCTTATTTTTTTCTATAAATATCTCTGTATTAATAAGGTTATATTAAAATATAATAACTTTCATCTTGCTGACCATTAACAAATGTTAAAATCTGCAACTTAATAAACATTTTTTAGAAATTTTTATAATTTTTGAATCTTTCATAAAAAAATCGATAGTTTTTGGTTTCGCTCAATTGACAAACAAAATTATTTAAATCATTTTTTCAACCTCTTAAATAAGACCAATGGGTTTTCATTATTCAAATGTCAGTTTGATAAGGAAATGACAGAAGCTATTACGATTTGAGGAACCCCTGACACATGTTGGTAATATTTTGTTTCTTTTTTACAGTTTCGAAGAGGAGGTGGAGGAGGAGCAGCACAAAAAGGAGACTCCGGTTGCCACAAAACTCCGGTTGCCGTAAGATGCCATGGGCAAGTGCGTCTCCCGGCAGACGCCTCCGCTCCACGAAATTGGATCCCCGGCCGCGGAGCATCATCAATCTGTATTGACAATCGCACTGTCCCGCGAAGATTTGGCCCAGGCGCACAAAATCTGGCAACAGTTGACAGCGAGTAATGAATACATAGCAACCAAAGGCAGCCAGGAGGAATCCCAGCAGCAGCAGGAAGAGCCCTTTTATTACTCCATAAGCCGTCGGCGGAAGCAACCGGAGCAGGCTGTGCTGCACATCGAATCCCTTTACAATGGCGCCCCAGCGGAACCGCTGACATCATCAGCCAGCGAAACGGAGTACTCCACTTGCCAGGAATTCCTGCTGCACGAACTGCTGCAGGCCATCGTAACCGCTGAAGAGCAGGAGCAGGAGCAGACATCCACAGCCACATCCATAGCCACATCCAACAACCACATCCTGACGCAGGCCAAAACCAGGCCAGAACCTCAATTACCCGTCGAGAACAACGGCTGGCTGACGGTGGTGAGTAATATTGATAAATGTTTACAACTCACTTGAGGCTTCTGGCGAAGCACTATCAATAAGTTGGAAACTCTGAGCCGAGAAGTTGAGTCTGGCGAAAATGTGGTGTGTCCGTGATTGTGGGTCAACAGTCTTTTCTTTCGCCAGACAATTGTCAACCTCAATATTCATTGTTTGTACAGAAAAGTGAAAAAAAAAGTTCCTTCAAGTTTGAAAGAATCTAAGAGCAGGCGGTTTGGGATTTATTTATAAAAATCACTCTCACAAAAATAGACAGCAAAATAAGTTTGCAGAAAATTACAGATTTTATTTGGTTGCACTTGCTTTTGAATCTTAAATTTAACATTAAATTAAGATACGTTAGGCTGATTAACCCAAGGCCTCAAGTCGCCTTCCAGAAACACTTACCCATCTCTCAGGAAAACTTTGGGCTTGCATATTCATATTCCTTTCCTCCGAAGGCTTATTACAAGGTAATTTAACATAAACAACCCAGGGGGTGAGAGGCGGGAAAGGCTGTCAAAAACGGCCCCCTTGCCACATATCATCTTTCATACTTAACCGAAGCACTTTATTCCTCTCCTCCCCCCCAGCAATTGACCTTAACCCAATTTTATCTTACCTGGATAATGTCTCTCAGGGCTTGTTTTATGTGCATTTTAAATGACCCACTAAGTATGAACAAAAAGAGGAAAATAGGAGTTTTAAAATTTGAAAATTGTGTGCATAATGATTAGTTAAAAGTTTTACACTGAATAGCTTAAATTTCGTTCAATAAGTCTTAGATTAATGTTTAAGCATTTATAGTGTGATTTTCAAAAGCTTTTTAATATTGACGATCCTGATCCTGATCGAATAAAAAAAGATTTATACAGGATAGGAACCTTGAACAGTCGGAATCATAATTGAATTTAATTTTTTAACTGCTGCGATACAAACTTCTTTCCAAAGTTGGAATACTTTTATAAAGGGTATTTAAATGTAAAAATTTCTATACACCTTCCATTTTCCGTGGTTCGTTTCCCAGCTAAGTGCCGCGGCAACCACTAGATGGCGCCAGACTAAGCCACCCCCGATTCTTGGCCATAATCGCCGGGCAGCCACTTGTTTTCCTCATTCTGCGCATGAGCAAACACCGAGAACTCTCTCTGTGTCTACTTTCCATTTTCTCCCCTTGTGGTCAAGCTAAAGAGCGCATAAAGACCAGACCCACCACAAGAAGACAGGGAAACCCATTCGTTCCGTGAGAATTTTTCAGCTCGCCATTCAATTTTCCGTATGCCGTGCTTTCGCAAGTGAAAAAATCGTCGCCACTCTGCCGCAGTAGAAAAAAAACGGAAAAAAAAACTATACAAAAAATAGGAAGAACATTCAGCAAAAGAACAAAAATAGGAGGACAATCAAAAATAGATTCGTGGAAAAGTGTGGCGAAAAACGTTTGCATAACCTGAGGCGTGAAAAGTGCGAGCAATCTGCCAAAGATTTTTCCAGCAACCCGAGAGATTTTCAAGGACCCCCGTGTGGGTGTACTCGGCAGCAGGTACTCGCTGTGTATCTGTGTGTGTGTGTGCGAGCGTGTTTGGAAGTGTGTGTGTGTGTGCGGCTCGAGTGCAATTATAAATGGCGTAATTTGTGCGCCTCGGCGGCCGTGTCATGAACATTGCCGTATTGCATCCTAGCGAGGACCTTTTGTACACCAGGATCAAGACGACTCCGCGGGGTGTGTTAGCAAACGGACGGAGGCTCGCCGGAAAAGCGAGTTCCTCTGCCGACGATTTGCAACATGGATGAATGCGACAACCCCGTCGTCGTCGTTTCGCTGGGAAAACTCACAACACAGACGCTAAGCGAGGGATTCGTCGCCGAGCCGAGCGCGGAAAATTCCGATCAGGAGCACCAAAGCCAAATCAGTAACAAAGACCCGAGCATCGATGATAAGGAAGAGTTCCTAGCGGAGGACCTTCAGAAATCTTCAGTCGAGGAGGACGCAGCTATCGACGCGGAAGTCGAGGCAGTCATCATGGTACCGAATTGCAATCTTTAAGATTCTTTAATTTTGCGGAGAACCGTTTGAGTGCAATGATATGTTGTAGATAGCTTTGGCTTTAAGAACTGTATTAAATTCATCAAAAGTATCTCTTAGATAGTTTCTGATTCCAGGAACAATATTCTTATAATTTTTCGAATTTTCATAAATCATTTAATTAAGTATATAATATAAAACAATATAAGATTAAAAGCGTCCCTAGCAATAAAAGCAATATTTTTATATAAAATGATTATTTAAAAGTAGTTTCATAAAAATCATCATTTAAAAACTTCTTCTTTGTGTTCCAAAAATATTTAATTAAAAACTGAGTCAAACAATTTTCTTTAAACTGAGAACAGGAACCATTAAAATGCATACTTATTACTTTTCAAATCATCAAAGCACATACGCTTCAATATTGATATTTATCACGATTGCATGAAAAGTATCTCGCAAATAGTTATTGTTCGTAGGAAACGAGTGACTCATGTAGTTAGCTATTATGTATATATATATATCCTATTCTGTATTGTCTTGTTGGGGAAGTCCTCGAGGCTCCTTTGTTTCCGTGCGCCTCTCATCTGTGCTGACCCGATTCGCAAATGTGTTTCGCTTTCATCCTAATCGCTTTTCCCCCTTTTCCCCTCGACTTTTCTGTTTAGGGACAGACGGAGAGCAAGAAGCAGGGCAGCAAGTCAAGTCGCCGCCACCACAATGGCAACGGAAATAGTAATGGCAATCCTTTGGAGGCGCAGGATCAGGCGGTGCACACCAAAGGCACCGCCATGTCCTTTGGCTTCCGCAAGAAGCTCAATGGGACGCCCAAGAAGTTCAAGAAACTCCTCGAAGGCGGCGACAAAAGCGCAACTCGCACGGACACAAAGGACGACAATGGAAATGCAGGTGAGTCGAGAAAATTGAGTTTTCGGGGGAGGTAAAAATATGAAAAGCCAAGGTGTGAAAAAGCCAAAAATGTAGGAAAAAGTTTACGAGTTATGATTCTGAAATATGATTTCCCTAATGGATAAAAATTAACTTAAAACTATCTAGTATACAATGTATGAGCTCTTTTATATCTTAAGAATTAAATTATTATAAATTCCAAAACATTTAAATATAACTTCTTAAAGAACTTTCTTAAAGTTTGTTTTTTTAAATAAATTTTGTTAAATTGATACACAGAGGTATACTTATATTTTTAATAAGTATAGTTTTAAGTTCAGTTAGTTGTTTTTTGTAGTACGACAGCTAAGTATCCCTTCTAATTTAGCTAGCCAAGTGTTATGGCTTTTTAATTTGGCGACAATCTGGCCAATTTAACAATGACTTGACATGCCAACTTTTCATTGGAAACTTCCCTTTTCCTTGATTTTCCCCTTTCAGCTGCTCCCGTTCACTTTGAGAAAGTAGGCGCCGCCGCTGTCCAGAAGACCGGCAACTTGGCGGCAGGTGCGGCTGGGGCACGTTTCGGATATCGTGGGGCGGTACCACGCCCCTCATCTGCGGGTATAACCGCGCCCAGCGAGGAATCCGAAACGGAATCAACGGCCAATGCCCAGAACAACAACAACAATAATAACAACAACAATCGGGGAACGGGAAGCGGTGGTCCGGTGTTAGTGAGCAATTGTGAGTATTCGCTTCGCTGCAAATAAAACTAGAAAACTAGAACTTCCCAATTTTCTTCGGCTGATCTGAAAACTCCCTTTGATTTACCCGCAGTGAAACGCCGCTCGAAGAGCGCACATGCCGGCAGATCCGGCGACGGGGAGCCCAAAATAGCCCAGCCGAAAACGCTGACGTTCAACCTGAATCAAAACACCACCATCGAGTACCAGCGGCGGCAGTTCTTCGGCGAGATAGCGGACGAAACGTCGGCCACGGCATCCGGATCTGGGTCGGGATCGGGATCGGGATCGAAAGCGATGCAGCCGCGCTATAACTACAACAACCTGGCCAGCATGCATGCCAATGTCATGTGAGTAACGCGGCACTGTGATAAAATTTTTAATTGTTCGAAAAAGAAAAGGAATGTGAATTCTCCAACAAAAAAAAAACAATTTCAATTTTAATCAGAAAGTTAAAAATTTTAATAAACTTCTAAAGCAAAAAGTAAAAGAAAGCAAGATCAAGAAATATATTCTTAAGTAAATCAAAAATCTCAGACAATTAGGTTCACTTTACATAGAAAATCTTAGTATTTAATATTTTTACCATTTGTATAAACTTCCTTGTCATTCAATTTTACAAATTTAGTATAATTCAAGTATTTTATACAATAAAAAATTAATTATACTAAGCAAAAGTTTAGGACGAGAGCATTAAAAAATTAACTAAGATAAAGAGACATTTTATATATTGAGATTCAAACTAGAACCATTAATTAAATAATTATGCCTCAGCTAGATGTTTTTTTTTAATATTGATTGAAAATATATTATATTTTTTCAAAGCAATGTAAAACTAAATAATAATATTAAATTATTCTTCCTCCCTTTTTAGAGTTCGCCCCACACCGCGACCCACTCCAGCCAGCTACGCGAAGTTCACCCTGCAGACGGTGAGCTTGCCCCGGCCGGAGTACCCGGTGGCCATCAGCCTGACGGCCACGACCCCAACTACGCCGAGCAGCAGTGTACAGTCACCGGTGCCCGCCCATTCGACAGGAGCCAGGGCCAAGGACATATCGACGAGCTCACGTCAACATCCCTTGACCTCGGTGCATGTCCAACCACAAGCACGACATCTTGACCAGAAGAGCGTGAAGCAGCTGACAAACAACTCCACTCGTCGCGGATTCTCCGGCAGTCGGGAGATAAGTGCTGACTCAGGAATAGCCAGCATGGACATGGCGTTGGACAGCAGTTCGGGCAGTTCGGTGGGTTCCAAGCGGAGTCGCAGCAGGCCGAGAAACCTCAAGATGGTGATGAGTGGACGGCACACTTTCGAGGTCCGCGATGCCGACGATCCGCCCTCCAGTGAGTCCAACTCCTTTGTGGAACCACTGGCCCTTCCCAAACTACCCACTGATGGCAGTCAGAGTATTCCTCTGCCACTTTTGGGTTTGGTACGATCCAATACGGTCTTGAGTCGAGAAACTTACGAAAGGCGGCAGGTTGAGAATACTGGATCCCAGGATCAACAGGATGGCAATGGAGATAAGCCAAAGACGAGTGTCTCCGATGAGAGCGAGAGTGTGGATGAGGAGAAGCTCTATCTGGATTCATCCACCTCGGAGAAGAGTGCCAAACACCAGAGTCAGTCCTCGGTGGCCTCCACTTGGCATCTGCAGGCGGGAGAGTCCCTGGCCGCCCAGGATTGCAGCAGCATGAGCATGAGCATCAGCAGCGATACCCAGGCACCGGAGAATCCCAGGGATAACGACAAGGAGGAGGACATGTCCTTGGGTCTGGACGAGATCAGTCTCATCAACACCGACATGCAATTCAGCACAATCTGTAAGTGGTTTAATACTCTTTAATTTAATTAAAATTTGGAAGGAATCATTTAATATACTTTAAAGAATATATATAACTTATCAGCATCAGCAAATTATACCATTTGAAAGCTCTATAAATATTAAAAACTTTTTTTGTTTTTGTTTCCGAAAATATTGAAGTATATCTAGAAAATTTTATTTTATCTATGGATCTAAACATCTATTCCTTACACAATTTATCTTCTCAAATTCATGATTTTACTAAAGAGGTATATAAATTGTGAAATAGGAAATTAGACTTAATTTTTTCTTGTTTCATAAACTAATTTTAATGTTTTGTAACCTTATCTTCCCTTCCAGCTTCGATGACGGAAACTCCACCCAAAGTGGGTCAGGAGCCGCTGCTCAACCTCCATCTGGTGGACAATCGGGAGGCGGGCACCTCTCGTCCCCGCTCCTTCAACAACGCCCTCAATGAGTCTAAGTTCGCCGAACTGGCTTTGGCCAGCAGCAGTTGCCTTCTGTTAGACGACGAGACTTCGCCCACTGATAGTTTGGTTAGCAGCACCGAGGATTCCGAGGAGGCGGGTGGCAAACTTCAGAAGCACAAATTGAATGAGGAACGCCAGCAGAAGGACATCGATGACATCGACATAGATGATATTTCCCCGGTGCTCGAATTGGATTTGGATCCACCGGGCAGTCGCAGTCCCATTTCCCCGGGAACTCCAACTCACGCCTCCCATTCGCTGTCTTTGGGTTCGGATTGCGGCAATCTGATCGATGATGAAATCGCCGATCAGCCAGCTTTGATTTGCAACAGTGAAGCCCATGAACTGGCCACTGATACCCCCACTTTGATGGAAACGCTCACCCATACACACACAGGATCCTTGAGATCCTTGAAGAGTCAGTCGAAGGCACGAACTGCTCTTCAGCAGGCAATCGAATTGAGTTTGAGGACTCCGGCGGCTGTTAGAAAGGCGGTGATGGATCGAGCTGAATCCCTGGATACTCTTTCCCCCTGTGAATCCATTTGCTCCGATGACCTGATGATGGACTTCGACATGAACAGCAGTGTGGACTCCATCGATCACATGGCAAATGCCACGGGTCGCAGTCGCAGTGGCTCGGATCTGCACAAGATCGGAAAAGGAAACCAGGACATCGATCCCATGCAGGCGGAGACCGAAGCGGAACTTCTATCCGAGTTGGAACGCAGGGGCAGCGATGTGATGAAGGAACTCAACACCTTGTTGAGGGAAAGGAGGCAGCGCGGTGGTCCAAGGGAGAGGATAAGGTGAGTTTTAAAGTCCTTTCTTAAATAGAACTTTCTTTTATTTTATTGGTAAAAAAAAGGGAAAAATATATTTCGGAACATAAGAAATATTTATACTGATATTTGAATAATTATAATGTAATCAACCATTAGAATACTTTAATTAGTACACTTAAAGAAATGGTTAAATAGGTCAAAAGTTTATACTATTTAACTACTATGATATACGTTTTGGAATGCACTCACGTATTTCGGCATCCCAACTACCAATCAATCTGAAAACTTGGGCTTCACGCCTTCAAAAATACAACTTGCCGCCCTGCATTTTAATCTTTAAAAAGCTATCTCTGTTTTCCGAATAATTTCAATTTCTTCGAGCTACCCAAAGCTAATTGAATTGCCTGCATTGGGTCAGAAGTGCGGTGGCGGAGGCTCTTTGAGTTCGCCTTTGATTTGGTTTTATTAGCCCGCCACTTGGCAGTTGGCCAGCGACTGTTGGAATATTATTAAGTGCATTTTCCCCTGCAACCCAATTCCACTTGAGGTGCTGCAAATCAATCAGCAGCCTCTCCCTCTTTTTGGCACAGCCTCTACCTCTCTCTTTGGTCGCTAGACAGTTTTTTCAGCCGGCCGGTAAAAGATTGCCTAAGTTAGCCCTAGAAAGGCGGAAATTTATGACCAACTGCACAATATTTTTTAAAGGTAATGAAATCATACACTCAGGGGATAACTTAAGTAGTAGAAAATAAATAGTACGAATCAATAGATGTTAAATGATTAAGTGGAATTAGAGAGCCAATGAGTCATTTGAATGAAATGAAGCTAAGAAACTTTTAATTTAATTTAATAAATATATACTTTATACATATGTAGATAGATTTCTATCTATTGTAACCTCATATTATCTTTAAAGTCTCTTTCTTTCTTTTAAAATAAATGGTACCTGATAAACCCCTGGTACCATCTAGTGTTAATTGCATTTGCCATGCACATCCCGGAATATTCATCCATTGATTTAGATAGCCAAACAAACAGCCGGCGAATCTCACGTGTTTGCTCGCTTGTTTGTTTGTTTCTGTTTGCCAAAGGGCGCTCTGGGGTTAATCAAATGCAATTTACTTTAGCCAACTCACAGCTTTGGCATGGCACGCCCTTCCCCCTTCCGTTCCCATCCCCACTGCCCCTCCTACTTTTATTTTTAAGGGTAAATGGAAATGGAAATTGAAATTAGCCCAAAATTAGACAGACATCATCAGACATTTGGAATAGGACAGCGGCAGGTTGCAGCTCACAGGTTTGCCAGAGTGTTTGGTTTCGCTGTTTTTTGCTGCAGTTGCTGTTGCACCAAAGGTTATTCCATTGGCGAACCCATTGGCGTCTCCATCCATCCATCCAATCCATTGGACATTCCCATTGCAGTTCCCGTTGTCGGTTCCAATTGCTGTGTTTTAGCGCCGGCTACCAGAAAGAGAAGGGGAGATCCGTTGAGGCATGTTTATGGCCCAAAGTGCTCCAGCCAGCACTAACAACAACAATAATAACAACAACAACAACAACAACCACTCCGTGTGGGCCTTGTGCATTCTGGGCGAAGCCAAAGCCAAAGACGCGACCAACGGCAACGGCACTTGGCATTTCCAATTGTCTACGCTTCCCACCGCCGCCTCTCCTTTTCCTTTTCCATTTCCACAGGAAAAAATATTTTCCTTTAAGATTCGGGATTAAGAAAGTGGTTTCTCAAGAGCTAACATATGACTCTCTAGTTGAAATAATTTGAAATGGGAAAATATAAGTGAGATAGGAGTTACTTTACATAAGTAAAAAGGAATGAAGTTTTCACATGGAAGTAAAAGGTATAATGTTGAATACTTTAATACCACCTTATTTTCCAGCAAATTTAAATCAAGAGTTAAAGAACTTTTAAAGAATTCATACTTTCCAAGTTAGGAACTTAAAACCAAAAAATACTCTTAATTTAGTCAGACACTTCTTACCTTTCAAATTCTTTCCCAGGGATCGTAATAAATAGGCAACTTCTTTGGTCCCCCAAGAACTTTAAATAAAAACTCTATACAACATCTATTTTTAGCAGAATCCACTATTGTTAGGCTTTTGTTCTCTGTGTGGCATTCCCGTCGCCAACTATGGGAGCTCCAGACTGGGTCTTGGCTTTTTGGCCAAATCGTGGTCGTAGTTAAGATAACATTTTGACTTTGGCCGGAGACTTGATGGCGAGTGCCGCATTCTTTTGTCATGGCAACGAACTAGCAGCAACAGTCACAACAGCAACACTAGCAACAGCAACACTAGCAACAACAACACTAGCAACAACAACTTTAGCAACAAAAACAACCGGCAACGGCACGACATAAACTGCGATGGAGTTGTTTCTGGCTCTAACCAAAAGTTGGGAAAAACTTTATTGCTAGGAAAAATCAATTGTGTGCTTGGCTCTGGAAAAAGTCGGCTGGATATATAGTATGTGAACCTGTTTCGCAGGCAACAGCCAAATAACTGCAAAATGCCGCTGGCGTTGGCTAAATGGCTAAATGTGTTGTTGCGGTTCAACCTGTCACTCGAATGGATCCAATGGATGCGCCTGCGCCGTCGGGACATTGGCTTTCCTTTTCTCTCTCTTTTTTTTCCACCAGCCAACACTTTGTAGGCAGCATTAGAAGGCCAATCTGCAATCAGCCAGCTGCAGATAGTGGCTCATAAAACCACCAATCCAGTCACATGCAAAACAAAACCGCACTTGTGGATTAACCTTGAGACTGGCTTACCCGCTTGGCCAGCGAGTGAGTCATAATGGCCATATTTCCCGCTTCCCCGCTCCCCACTCCCTCGAAAAGTGCTGAATAAGCCCACTCAATCCGAGTTATTATTACCTCTCAGTTAGCCCGCTCACGCGGATGCAACAAAAGCCGCATTGCGATCCCCAATCTCGGCATTCCGGGTGCATAAACATTATGGCTGTGAGTGTGTTGTCGCCCCGGCCAACAGATCTGGCTTTCTTTCTTTTCTTTCAACAGCCAGCCAACATCGGCTAACGGCTGTGCCACACACTCCGAGAACGTTAACAAAAGCGGCCCAGACCCACACAGCCGTCTCTCGTTCGGCCCACCAGCAACATTCTTGAAACTGCTTGCCGTTGCCGTTCATGTTGCTCGTGGAAGCGGTGTTGCTGTTGCTGTTGCTGTTGCTGCTGCCAATGTTGCTGTTGCTCAAAGGAACGTTGGGAAAGCGAAACATTGGTAACAACAGCAACCAATTACAGTGGGTTAATTCAACAATTTAGCTTTTCAGGATTTGTGTTCACTAAAATTCGACTATTTATGTCTCCAAAGTTAGGCCTTATAATTATTTAACATACATATATGTTTCATAAGAAATAACTTTTTTAAATAATTTTAAAAACATAACCATATATCCTTGCGTACTATCATTTTAAGTATTTAAATCCATCTGAATACTTAAACATTTTCGTAAATTTTCAATATTTATTTTAAAAATAACTTAATTCTATTTATCTTTCAATTTCACAATAAACGATTTCATTTTGAAAACAATTTATTTGCATTCTTGCATTCCAAAAAACTTTTATATTTTTATAACCCAATTAATCCTTCCGTCCCACTGTTGTGTTCCATTACCAAACCATACCACTCCATTACCATTATCATCGAGCGGTGGCTCCAACTTCGATTTCGGCTCCAGTATTAAACAAGATCTCAAAGCGCGCGGTTCGGTTTGCAAATGCTGTGCGGTTTAGCCACGCGGAGTAATAAATTATATTCGTAATTCAATATCATATCATCAGCAATATCGGTTTGAAGAGCACTGCCAGTAAGGCAATTGTAAATTGGTAAATTGTGCAAGAGCCGTTGTTTGAAAAGCGCGTGGGAGTTATTGCGTAGTCCAATTAAATTGCGTTGTTAAATCGGTTTATAACCGAAACAGAAAATTACAAAAAAAATCAAAAACCAAAATAACCAAAAGCAAGAGCCAGTGACCGCAGGCAGTCGTCGCCTCCAGTGATACGCACTGGTGCCTCTTCGTGCCACAGATACCGATGCTACCTATCCATCCAAAGCTTCAGATTCAGATTCACATTCATATACAGATATATATATACATATAGGCGGTCCAACGCCGACGCCGTCGAACCAAAAGCATTCATAACAAAAGACACGCCACGGGCACAAGTGTCAATGAAACGAGCGTTTTGGCTGGAATACATTTCGCATTTGGCCTAGACCCGCAGATTCGAGTGAGTAAAAGAGGTACGGTGTGACCTTTATAAGATGGCCATCCAAAAACCTATTTAAGAAATGAAGAAGCACTTTATTGGAATTTTATTTTCAAGCATACTCAATAAAGCAGCTTGCTTTTAATTTGTTTCCGCAATAAACTGAGATCTAAACATCTGTGGCTCTATATAGTTTTTTTTATAGAGCGGTACTTTTGATTTTTTGGCAATAAGATTCTTTAATTTAAAAGTCATACTACACTTAGAGAAATTATGACATAGGAGTTTTTCATCAAAAAATATTCTCTTACGCTTTGTTTGGTACTTAAAATTTATGAAATGAATTAGAATTATAAACTATGTATATTAGAGTCAAAGTGAGCAGATCTCTATGCTTACCATAAATTAAGTTTACAAATTTCCGAAAGAGCTCTTCATGCTGGTTTTTCTTACCGACATTCAACTGTAGCTGAGAACTGTTGTACAATGCGTATTAGCGTAGCGAATTGTCGGCAAAATCTGACAGGGCTAACAAAGGCAGACAGAAGCTACAGAAAGCCCAGAAACCTTAGCCAAGTGGTAGCCAAAGTGGGTGATGATTTCCGCTCTTAGCTTTGCGTAATTCGATATGCAACCGGGGGGCAAAAAAAAAAAAAAAAAAAAAAAAAAAAGGGGTGTGTCCAGCCTACGCACGACAGAAGTGAAACTTCTAGTATTCCTCTCTCTCTTATCATTTCATTTCCTCTATCTCATCACTACTCATTTTTAAAAT